CCAAATGGTTGACTTAATCTTACTTAAGTAGTTCATTTCATTTGAAAATGGAAAACTAAGAAGAAAATCCAACTTGCCAATATCACCAACATTTGTTGACATGAAACATTTACAATATTCCGTAAAACTAAATAAATTAAGTAATTATGTAAGTAATATTTTTATTTATTTTTTTTTTGCAATATTTTCAGACAAATTTTTATTTGTCTTATTTCGGGAGTATTTATTTTAAAGATATGTTATTGCAATTTACATGCAACTTTCAAAGCTGACTTAAAATAAAAATTCAATTAATTTGGAAATTATTTTAATGTTTTTTGTACCGCAAAGTGACGTTCTAGGCCTTATAGAAATAGAAATTCAATGTAGATTTGAACAGAAACATGGTAACGCGGATTTTCGATGTGAATCCATAAAATCCATAAATCTTACTAAACATTGACTACTTTACAGGTTTAAAATGACTTTCGGCGGTTAAAGTGGCGTGCAAACAAAGCTATAAATCCGTTTCGTCGTTTAACGGCGCTGTTGTTTATCCAGCAATCCAACAGCAGCCCTCCACCGACGTGTTGAATTTTTGTTCGGATTTATTTGATTATCGGGCGAGTTGCATCGGGGACAAAGGGACGCGAATATCCTCTCTCTCTCTCTTTCACACATACAAACATTCATCGAACGAATACACTCCGTCTCTGCATAACAGAACAGGTTCGTGAATGAGATTCATGTAACACAGATACCTACATTCGATGGCCCCCACTGATCCGATCCAACCCAATGCCTCGGATTCGGCATCGCTCGCCTCGAGCCAAACAAACAAAAAAAAACAGCAGAAGAAGAAACAGCTTCCTCGATTGTTATTTTTTTACGTAACTTGCTACGATATTAACAAAACGCGACCGGAAACGTTACTCAATCAGAGAACGTCTTCATCCAATTAAAACTCATAAATGTTACCAACAAAATTAATTAAAAACATCTGCAACTAACGAAACCAAATGTTACAAACGGAATTGAAGCGTTCACAAAAAAAATTACGCAATTGGGCCGCTCCTATTTCGCTTTGTTAACCGGATCAAATTCGAAATTTCCGATTTATTTGCAATGTTTGTTTTATTTTTAAATTTCTTTTTTTCGACGTCGGAAGAATGGTTTTACAACCGGTAGTTCTATTCTATGTAGAAATACGTAACGCGACCTTGGATTAAGTGATGTTTGTGTTCGATAGAATTTAAACATTCGAGCCTATTTTAAGTAATTTTCAGTAAAATTAACGGGTCTATATTGCAAGCCCGACAACCGAAATACCGTCTATCAAAATACCTACGTTTGAAATCCCGACTATATTAAAATCTCGACTGTATCAGAATCTCAACAACCATAATCCCGACAAACCGAAAATTTCTACAATAACATTAAAAAAAAATCTTGGACACCTATGGACTGAGAGTAACGTCATATATCTTACGTCAATTACAAACTTGCAGTCATGCCGTCCTCATCGAGTTAGATTTGTAATTGACGTTTGATATTTGACTTTTCACACAGTCGTCAACGTGTTAATAGTTTATAATTGATTTTGGTAACGCGTCTTAACATCGAGAATACAATGAAATACAAATATTGCAAATCGTCAGGAATTTCAATTAAAAATAATGTCTGCAACAGTAATTGCGTTACATTGAAACAAATGTTAAGTGAATAAAAAACAAGGCTGATTATATGCGATGAGCGCAATTCATGTAATAATACGCTTTCCAAATTGAATAATGGAAAGTTTTGTTTTTCTACCAGAATTTACTTAGATTCGTTCTTTTTTTTCAACAAATAAAGATTTATATTCTTCTAAACCAGTGGTCCCCAACCACCGGTCCATAGATCAAATAGTACCAGGCCGCACAAACCCCCAAATGGAACCGGTTCTCATTGATTTACCCTTCTAGTGAGTTAAAATGTAAAATCACGTCTCTCCCACCCCTCAACGGGCCGCGGTAAAATTATCAAACGTTGACCGGTCCGTGGCAATAAAAAGGTTGGGGAGCACTGGTCTAAACCACTGGGATGTGAGAAATGTTTAAAAATCTAATCAGAATATGGACATACTTTTATTTTATAAATTTGTTTTCTTTTTATGACGGAAGAAGTATTTGGTAACATCACGATTTCAACCTTGGCTCGCAATCACGATTCTAATTCTTATTTTTTTTTTAGAAAATCCAGCACAGTTTTAATTTTAACACGTCGAAAAAGGAATTGCGAAATCGGGTTTATTGTGTGTTAAAAATTATGCATTATTATACAATATTGACCGATGTTAAAACAGTTCCTGTTACCACACGCAATTATTGTTACACGCCATCGAGTCTTCAATTAACCAAGAATTATAACATTGCGTTAAAAGTATGTTTCATTGCATTAATTAAATTAAAGCAATTAAAAGACCGGTTTCGTAATAATACTAATATATCATCTTCTTAATTTCGTTTTTAAAACCCAGAGATGATTAACATTTTTGTTTATCGTGAGTATTTTTATTTACATTTTCGGTGGCTTCAATCATAACTCGATTGACAATATTGAATACACAAAAGATTTTTTAAATTAAGTATTGAATTGAAATCGATTTTCAATTCGAGATTTGTAAATTTTTTTTTGAGTTATGATTTTTTGATTTTGTTCCTAAAAAAACTAGTTAGTTATTTTTCTTTTTTGTTGTCTCTCTATTGAATGATGGATTAAAGCGAGACTCGTTCTTTGTTTTTGGCATTTGACCTAAATACAAAAGAACTACCGCAAAGTGGTTCCATCGTTAACGGCAATGAAAATCGGTTTAAATGAGTTGAGCCTTCGCGACGCTTAAAATCGGCGCACCGTGAAAGCTTATTAAAATCGCAGCGAGTAAATCCAATTAAATAAGTTTTATTATAAAGCAATCTATTAAGATACAAAGAAATACCAAAAACTTACCGGGAAATTAGAAAATAATCCAACATGAATTTTATCAACCGACTTTTTCCTTATTTTTGTTTGTTTTCTGACTTCTGTCAACTGCACAGATCACTTTGATCGCGTTTTCTTTGTTAGTATTGAACAAATGTGTGATACAAATAGTTGGCGGATTTCATGCGATCGATACAAGTCGCGGATGGAAACTGGAGTCGGTGGAAAAAAGTAGTAGGTATGAGTAGTTCTTCGGCAGTGGCCGCGGAACACGCGAAACGCAAGCTGCGGAGGAGAGAGAAAGATTCGAAAATGAATGTTTAATTTTTTTCTATATTTTGTTTTTGTTTGGGGGGAAGCATAAGTCTGGAACGAAGCACCATTTCCGGAACATTAAAAAATAGTTGAATTTTATTTTATTAAGTTTTTTTTTATGTTGTAATATATTGTTGCAATAAATATTATTACTATTTATTAAATTAAACAAATTATTAACATTTCATGCGATTTTAATCATTACTAAAACAGAAAAGTTGAAAAAATCTAATTTTTCTTTAAATTTTCAAAATGATTAAAATAAATCTTGAAATTGTCTAAATTATTTTAGATACACAAAACAAATTACAGTAAAACCTATTTTTTGTGCGGTAGTAGGGACCGTATAAAAAAAATCGAAATTTACATATACCGCATAAAAAAGAACGCACAAAAACAGGTTCTACTGAATATCAAGCAAATTGAATTTTTTAAAGAAAATTTTCTAAATTTAAAATTATAAAAATATCTATATCATTTTTAATAATATATTTAATAAAAAATTATTTATTTAAGAGAAATAACAAAATACTTGATTTTTGCATAATTCAAATTTAATTTTAACGTTTAATCTAGAAAACTGACGGTAAATTTGTAAATAATTAATAATTAATGTTAAATATAAATAATTTCAAACGAATTGTTTATTGTTATATATGTAATTATATAAATATATATGAAATTGAATAGAAATGTAATATTATTTTTGTTTTTACATAAATACTTTATTATTTATAATTTTTAAAAATGGTTTCTCTCCATATATCAATTGTATATTTGAGGTAGGCTACCCAATAAACATTGTTTATAATCTTATTGAAATGAAATATTAATTACCGGAAAAGGAATAGATACAATGCCAAAGAAATTTTTATCAATAATAATTGATATAAATCCTTTTTTTATAAAATATTTATTAGTCGACTCACTCATATTGAAATAATTGATTAATTATTTTACCGTAATTATCAAACAATTATCAATTTTAATCTTTTGTTTGCACTATACAAAATGTTTACTCATATTACCAATTGATGATTTTGAATGTTATATTTAGATTTAAAATAAGTGTTTAAAAGCTGTGATAAATTTTATAAAATGATTCATTTCTACTTTTACAATTAACGATTAAAATAATATCAAATAATTCCAATATTTTCTAATTTAGACATTTTGTAATTTCTTAAATGCATGATTTTAAAAAAATAAAGTTAAATAATATAATAATAATAATTTTTTAGTTGCAACCAAAAGGCTATCGACCTAAGTCTTTCCGCCCAGAGACACAAAAAGATAAATTGTCACAATAAATCATACAAAAGAAATGCATTCTGAAAAAAAAGTAAGACGTACATATTTAAATAATATTTTTAGGTATATTTTCTGTTAGGATATATGGGAAAATGATTTAAAAAATCATTCGCAATTTTTTATTTCTTTTTAACTTATAAATTATAAGAAGTGTTGTGAATCATCAACAACAAGTAGTAAATTTCTAAAATAAATTATACTGTTTATACATTTAAAAACTATTTATGTAGCTGATTCGCAACAGTATGCATTTAAGGGTTAATATGTTTGCTTATTCATTTAATTTTTAGACTATGGTTTTAGTAAATGTAGTTTTTCAATTGGGAAATGAAAAGTAATGTAAATCAAAGAATGCTTGAGTGCGTGTCAGATATATGTCACGTGCGTGAAGAGGCGATGCAAAATTAGAATTTTTGAGGGATTATAATTAAAAAATGAAGGGAATCTCGGGGACGGATATGAGGCCGGAGAATCCGGCCAAGGATTCCAACTGGCTGAGCATCGCGACTTTCTGGTAATCCTATTACATTATAATATACATCTTCGCATCAGGACTGAATGAGCGAATTCTTCATCTGCTTCAGGTACTCTATAAAGATATTCAAAACAGGAAGGAAGAGGGACTTCGAGGAGGAAGATTTGACAAAGCCGCTGGAAAATCACAAATCAGCGAGGCTAGGTGACAGACTGTCGAAGGAGTGGTGTAGGCAGGTGGACAAGGCGGCGCGATCGAAGCGCCGGAAACGGAAGCCGAGTTTCCTGCGTGCGGTAGTGAGATCCTTCGGCTGCGAAATTGCTTGGTACGGCTTAGCTCTTGCCTTTATGGAGCTAGGAGCTCGCATCTTCCAACCACTCTTCGTCGGTCTAATTATTCGATCGTTGAGCATTGAGAACAAGAGGAACAACAACACGTAAATCAGATCTTCAATCTCATTTTTATCTCGTTTGCACGTAGATTTATCGGCTTGCAGGGACTCCAATCCAAAATATTTCACGAGACTTATCTACTACTGGGACAAAGATCAACCTAAGATCGAACTGGACGAGGTTTTGCTCTTCGCTTTGGGATCTTGCATGTGCAGCATGGTTGCAGTTTTGGTACAGCATCCGGTTTTCTGTTTGCTAAATTTCGTTGGGATGAAAATCAGGATAGCTGTCTGCTCACTTCTCTACAGAAAGGTACACATTTCATTTGAAATGATTTATTAATATTACTTATCCACAAAATACTTTGCTTAATGCTCTTAAACTGTCAAATACCTGATGGAAATAATCATTCATTCAAATATTCTATGTATTTTTATCAAATATTTATTATAAAAATTAATCAAGTAATCATAGTTTGCGAATGAAAAACAGATGCGCAAAGTCTTCCTACAGTTGTCATCAGGATCATTTATAACTATTCAGAGCAAAATTACACTTATTTTTCCTTTGTTATGAAGAAGATTATGAAAGTTAATGTAAATTGTAAATATATGAAAATATTTAGTGTAATGTTTTGAACGTAGAGAGTTTGTCAACATTTGTTCTTCATTACGTAAAGCTTGTTTTGCTATTATAGTAAAAACCTTTCAGTATACATATAATTTAAGGATAATGGATTATGTTGTAGGTGTTACGTCTGGATACGACCCAATTGACTGGACAGATGATAGGAAACGTGATTAACATTCTGTCGACGGACGTGAACCGTTTCGAGCAACTTCACTTCATCCATTACCTCTGGCTTGGACCGGCCACCGTAGCCGCTTCCCTCTACTTTTTGTACAAGGAAATCAACATAGCCTGTTTCCTTGGAATGTGTCCGGTGATGTTTTGCATCCCTCTGCAAGGTAAATACGTACTTACGTACCTCGTTTGGAGCATATCTCATCGATTCTGTTTGAAGGTATTTTCGGTATTCTCACCAAGTACATCCGAATAGAGACTGCGGTGCGCACGGATCGGAGAGTTCAGGTGATGAACGAACTGATTCAGGGCATTCGCGTCATCAAGATGTACGCGTGGGAGTACGCATTCAGCAAATCTCTGGACAAAACAAGAAAGTGGTTTGCTGAACGTTGCGCGATTGGGCTTTCGTTTCTAACGGAATTTGTTTTTGCAGACACGAGATGCGATCTCTGATCAAGGCGTCCGTCATTAAAGGCGTAATGATGTCGCTGATCCTGTTCACGACGCGTTCAGGTCACTTCTTCTCCGTCTTCACCTTTGTGACCCTGTTCAACGGCAATCTGAACATCGAGCAGATCTTCTTTATCGTGTCGTTTTACCAGATCCTTAGGATGACGATGACAGTGTATTATCCGCAGGGCGTTGGGCACGTTGCCGAAATGCATGTGGCCATCATTAGGATAACCGATTTCCTGCAGTTGAAGGAGACGTACATATCTAATCCGGAGCCGATGGATGCGGACTGGCTAAACAAGAGGGACCTCTACAGAAACTACGAGCTCTATTATAACACGCGCTTCTCCGTCTCGTCGGCCCGAGGCATCAGTATCAAGAATGCCAGCCTCAAATACGGCAAGTTGACCGTCCTCAGGAACATTAACCTGGAGGTGGTGCCAGGCATCCTCACCGCGATCATTGGCCCCGTCGGCTCCGGAAAGTCTTGTGTCCTGCACATCATTATGAGTGAGCTGGTGCCATTTGAGGGCACCGTCCACGCAGAGGGCACCATCTCCTATGCCAGTCAAGATCCATTTCTCTTCGCAGGTAAACCTAACAAGAACCCAGCAATTTCGGGTAGTAACCACACCATATTATGTGGATTTTATAAATTTAGGATCAATTAGGCAGAACATCCTTTTCGGACAGTCCTTTGATAGACGAAAATACTACAATGTTGTCAGATGCTGCGCGCTCTCTAGGGACTTTACGCTTTTGCCATACGGTGATAAGACCATAGTTGGAGAGAAGGGCATATCGTTGAGCGGCGGTCAAAGGGCGCGCATCAATCTGGCAAGGTCGATGTACCGGGAAGCGGACATCTACCTTCTCGACGATCCCCTTTCAGCCGTCGACACCAGCGTAGGCCGACACATTTTTGATGAATGCATAAATGGATTCCTAAAGGACAAGATCGTCGTGTTGAACACTCACCAGTTGCAGTACCTCAAGAACGTCGAGCAGATCGTTTACCTGGACGACAACGGCCGGATATTAGTGAAGGGGACATACACGGAGGTATTCAGCGTTGTCAAAGACTTGGAAAAACTGGTGGCCAACCAGGAGGAAGAAGCTGAAATTCCTGAGTTGAAGAAAGACGTACGCCAATCGTCGTCCATTGTGGCAAAAAGCGTCGCCTCCGGGCTGATACCGGTATTTGGTGTAATTTATGATACAAATATACAAGGTACACCAGTGCGTTTATGAGAGGAGTACGATTCATATACTTTTAAGAATACGTGACGTGCATATTTTTTATAAACCATTACAGTCAAGAACATCATGCGAGAAAAATGACGAAAATAGAACGGTTGTCCAGTGTACTCTATATATTTATATCATGGATGTATCAATTCGTATCAACTTTGATTGAACTTTTTTATATTTCAGAACATGAAGGAATTCCGTGAAATGCGAGGTCAGGGTGCCGTCGGCTGCGACGTCCTTGCCGCTTACCATAAGTCCAGTGGTCCTTGCTGCTTAACGTTCATCCTGTATATTCTCTTTCTGTTGGCTCAAGTTGCTGCAAGCGTTTTCGACTACTTCATCACCATTTGGTATTTTCTTATTTTTGTTAAAAATCTTTATACAATGAATTTACAGGTCAAAAGTGGAGGATGGTTTATTCTATGGTGAACCTTCGGCAGCGTTACCTGATGTATTCAAGGATTGCAATCGATATAAGTGTATAATCATGTGTGCAGCGGCGATAGCCGCGACAACATTTATATCGCTCTTCCGGTCGTTTTATTTTTACACAATGTGCATGAGAGCATCCGTTGCGTATGAGTTTCTATGTTTTAAGCTAGAAACACTTTATAGAGGGTTTTATTTTTTAGGCTACACAATTCCATGTTCAACAGCGTTACCAGGGCCAATCTGAGGTTTTTCACTTTAAATGCGTCTGGTAGGATTCTGAATCGCTTCTCCAAGGATATGTGCGCCGTCGACGAGATGATGCCCTACGCCATGGTAGATACCTATCAAGTAAAGATACATTTATCATGCTTAAAATGATGAACCTTATTAACATTGATTCGTGTAGATTCTGTTGAATTTCGTTGGGGTGATCGGTCTACTATGCTTCATCAATGTGTGGCTATTGCTCTTCACGCTCTTCGTCTGTTTTATATTCTACGTGATCCGAAAATTCTACCTGAGATGCAGCTGCAGCTTAAAGCGGCTAGACGGAATCGGTTTGATTGTTTCAACTGCGTTGGCAATTTCGTAGGTGATTGATTCTGTTCCGCAGCAAAAAGTCCGGTGTTTCAACATGTGAACGCCACGCTGCAAGGGTTAATGGTGATTCGATCGCACGGAAACGAAATGCTACTCGTCGAGGAGTTCGACAAGTTTCAGGACATGCACACGAGCGCCTCCTTCATGTTCATGGGTGTGTCAAGGGCGTTCGGCTACATCCTCGACCTCATCACCGTCGTCTACACTGGCATGATCATATATTACTTCATCCTGATAGACAACGCTGATGGGGCGAATATCGCACTCATTCTCTCGCAATGCATCGGTCTCACAGGTATCTTCCAATGGGGCATGCGACAATCGGCCGAGTTTGAAACGCAACTGACCGCAGTAGAGAGGGTGCTGGAATTCACCAAGATCGAGCCCGAACCACCACTGGAATCAGTAAGCTACCACTTGTTTGATTAATAAAACTGGAACTACTATATTGGTTTAATTGCAGATTCCTGAAAATAAACCCCATTCGTTCTGGCCGACGGAAGGCGCCGTAGAATTTAAAAACGTCTTCATGAAATACTGCTTAACGGAGCAACCGGTGCTGAGAAATATGAGCCTTAGCATTGAACCCCAGGAGAAGGTGGGCATTGTTGGGAGGACGGGAGCTGGAAAGTCGTCAATGATCGGGGCTCTCTTTCGACTAGCATACATCGAAGGCAAGATCATAATAGATGGTGTGGATACCGGAAAAATTGGATTGCACGATCTCAGAAAGAAGCTGTCCATAATACCGCAAGTGAGATAAAAGACGTTCTGAATCAAATTGGAAGATTTTGTAGATTGGTATGCTCTTGTATTGCCTTTTCAGGAACCGGTTATATTCTCTGGATCGTTACGGTACAATCTGGACCCGTTCCAAGAGTACCCCGACGTTATCTTGATGTCCGCTCTACTAGATGTGGACATCAAGCTGACGGAGAACCCAAGTAGGTAATGAGCGACCAAAGGGAGTTCCTTCCAATCTGTGCTGGCATTTTCAGAATGCCTGGACGAGTACATGTCTGAGGGAGGGGTCAACCTGAGCGTCGGCTCGAGGCAACTCGTGTGTCTCGCACGAGCCATAGTCAGAAACAACAAGATCCTCATTCTCGACGAGGCCACGGCAAACGTGGATCTGCAGACGGATAACATCATCCAGCAAACTATCAGGCACAAGTTCTCCGCATGCACGGTTCTTACCATCGCCCATCGACTCAACACCATAATGGATTCTGACAAAGTGATGGTGATGGACGCCGGTCAAATCATCGAGTACAACCATCCGTTGATCCTTATGCAGGACAAGAATAGCATTTTTAGCGAACTGATCGCAAAGACCGGTCATCAAAACGTCGAACGCTTCTACCAGATCGCTAAAGAGGCTAGCTGCACATCTTTCGATTATTTTCCAAACCTTTTACGTTTATTTTATTACAGTCTTACGATGCTAAATACAAGGATGGCATTCTTCAGAAGAAGAAGGTCGATTCGGAGGACTTTAATCCACCTGAGGATGATTCTGGAGAAGATTAGCTGAATAATATTAATTAACTATAGCTTTTATCACGTTATTAATCTATTCTATTATAAAATAAAACTAAAATCAAACTTTATCCATTTTAAGATCACCCAACCAGCAGACTCGAGTACTTTTGGTTGCAGCATCAAAGCCTAGCCTCGTCTCTTTTCGTGAAAACGATTGGGGAAAATGGGATAAATAGAACAATCGAAGAGCAAGAAAACGCGTACGCACTAGTTAGTCTGTTTATTAATTCAATAAAAGGATGAATCGAACTAAAAAGTAGAAATAAATACATACTAAATATGGCGCGTTTACCGCGCCCAAAAAGACAAATCGGGGAGTGGCGCCCGAAGAGCCCGCTCTCAACGGAAGAAAAGAATCGTATAAATTCTCCATAGAATACACAATAATACCCAACAATAATCGATTGGAGATAGAAAAGAAAAACACAAAAACATATTTTTTTTCCTCATATTAAATTATGATACAACTTAGTTCATTTTTTATTACTTATTACTGACTTTTCTTTATAAGGCTTAACGAGAATTGCTTTAGTTATTCAATGTTCATTTTTCTTTTTCTTTTTTTTGCTTTTTTTTACACATTTTTCTTTATCAATACATACACATTTATATGATCATTCTTTAGATTTATTATTTAAACATTCAGCGTATACCTAAAATTATGTCTAAATTAATCTCGCTTGACTTGTACACAGTTCCGGGGATGGGAATAAACAATGATTTAAAAAAAAAACAAAAAAAACTAATAGTAAACAGGTGAATTTCAGTAAAACTACGAATCGCGAAAGAAATAATTATAATATAGTAATAATAATAATAAATTGACTCGAAAAATAGGCCCTGGTTTTCCATTCCGTGAGGAAACGAAAATCGAATAAAACTTAAAACAGTCGACTACTAGTAGAACAAAGAGATATATATGTACAGAAAATAAAAATATTACATAATAATAATAATTACAACAAAACAACGCTTTTTTGCTTTCGCTTCATTATTGGTTAAATGATTAGTGTTACGATTAGGCAGTCGATTGGGTTGGATTTGCCGATGCGCGCAATTCCGAAAGTTATTCATCAGTTTTCTAAACACTATAATTATATTAATACGGATGAGAGGAGGGGTGGGGGCAGGGGTTTGGGTTTGGCGATTAACAACAATGGAATTGGAATTAAAGGATATCATATATTATTATTATTAGGCCAGAAGAATTCGGGGAGACGGCGGCACGACAAAGATGTTTTTCTTTCTTCATTTGTTGAATACGCTGTGGTTTCCATGCGATTTAGGAAGATGAATAGTTAAATTAGCGCGACTAATAAAATAACTTAATCTGTAACTCAGTCTGTAACGTTAATAGTAGAATGAGATGGGAACAAAGAGGATAAAGTTTTTGGAGGGCTGAAGAGAATCGACTAAATAAATAAGTATATAAATATCGAAGCGACGAGTTCTCTCCGCCCCTTCGAGTGTTGAGGTGAACGGGGGGCGATGGGTAGTATTGAAAACAGACAAAAAGAGGTGGTCTCAGTCGAGAAAATATACGAAATTAGCAAACAAACGAAAAAATAATAAACAAAACAAAAGAGTTGTTTAAATAAGAAATTGAGAGAGAGCGAGATTGAGAATAAGAGCGAAACGAAAAATAATAACTTAATTTATTGCGTATTGCTAATTCTACTAAATTTAAATATATGAACATGGAGGATTAATGATAATCAATAATTAGTAATAATCATAATATATATATATATAAAAAAAAACGCACGCACACCATCCTTGCAGACTCATTCTACGCACTAAAAATCCATCCCTCTCGGTACATATACTACATTTGAATCGTTCGATCCATTAAATTAAATAAAGTTACTAATACGACGATAGTTTGATTCATTCATTCATTCACATGGGATTTATGTGTGTAAAAATGTGTTTTTCTTGTGCAAAGATGCAGGTGTGTGTGTGTATACTAATTTATTCGCGTTTCAGGAGAAAGATAATAAAACATAATATAGATCACAAATATACATACTACAGCTTTGGTAATAAGAATAATAATAATAAGTATATTTTTTTTTAAATAAAAATTTGTTGGTTCAGCTTAACCCTCCCCTTGTAGTCGTCCGTTTTCCCTCCAAAAAGGAAAACGTGAAGAAAAGTTTGAGAGACAGATGGAGAGGAATTGGCGCGAGGGGAGATGAGAAGATTGAGTAATGTAACCAACGTCTAGTTTTTGCTTTTCATCCATCCTCTCTCTCTCTCTCTTAAGTTTCTTCCATCACTAATATAATTGCTTTGCTCGATCACTTCTACAAAGAAACACAACAAACACACAAACCTCGTATATAAATAATTCATAAAGTTTGCTGATTTTGTTTGTTTTTTGTTGTTTTTTTTTTGGTCTCACAACTACTATTAATAAAATTAGGTGGCAATTTCGAAAATCCGCCAAACAGTTTTTCTTTTGTTCTCTTATTTTCATTCTTCGAATACCCTCCACTCTATCTCTCTCTCTACTCATAAACGCTCCGCTTTGTTACGTAAACTATATGCACTATATAAAGTTACTACTGTTTTTCTTTTAGTTTTGTTGTTTTGTGTATGTATGTGTCTGTGTGCATTATTTTGCTTTGCTTTTGTTTCGTTAGATACATGTATGTATGAATGTAAATAACACACGGGACGTTCTAACATCATAACATTGACTAATCAATCTCTGAGTCACATCCTCCGCCCCTTCGCACATAAACTTCCGTACACATTTGTTCCGTGACCAACTTCTTCGTCGTCGTCGCCGTAGGCTCTTCGTCCACCTGATTGTGCTTCCGTCTCTTCAGGGATTGAAGTTCGTCGTGCGTTCGTTCTTTGCGGAAGTCGTAGACGAGCGGGAAGATATGCTCGATGGCTGCTTGCACGTGATCCACGCTCGGCGCTGAAAAACAAAACAAAAACACGATCAGAAACAATTGACTTAAGTCTCAGAAAATGAACAAAACAATGAAAAAATACTTTTATCCAAATGTTTCAAGATTTCACTCTGAATATAAATGTCATGTTACCGCCAACGCAGCCTCTTATCTAATCCCACTGTTATAAACTAACAATATTACTTTATAACAACCAATCTCTAAATTGTTTATTTTAAATTTTTAAAAAAAATACACTTATATAACCGATGTTACAAAGTTACAATCGATATAGATCAATGTAATTGAATTTTATAGTATAAGAAAATTTTTGAAAAGCACTTTTGAGTAGATATAATCATCAAAATCTGATTGTAATCTTGTAAATAAGCAACGAATTCGCATGACTCGTAGAGATTTAAAACTAAATCTTAAGAGCGAAAACTTGTACCTTGTTATTCAAACTAACTACGTTGTTATTTAGATAAATATTGCATATTTTCATCGGGCAGCGAATAGTTAAAAAAAATAAACATTAAAAAACTGGACAAATGTTTAATAATATTAAATTTGCATCACCCTGTCGAATGTACCTTATGTTAACTTCTGTATACATTTCAAATGGTTTACTCTATTCTGAAGTTTATAATAATATTTATGATTATATTGAAATTATCACAACTATTCAACATTCAGTAGAGCAGAAATTAGCACATGAATGTGTTTAAATGAAGCAAACGTTTAAATAATAACAAAACCCTCACAATGCATCAAGAATTAAAATAAATATTAACAATAATACCAATCAATATCCACGTCTTACGAGAATAACACTATTTTGTGCTATTCTACAGAATCATTCACTCAACGATAATGATTTGATAAACAACGTTGTTCAGTCTCTCCCGAAAACTCTTCTTACAAAAAAGCCAAGCCAATAATTCACACAAAATGGAATTACCTAACCGAGATTATGTCAAAAGTTAATCAAAACATTAGCGATAAGTTCTCTCCTCGCTCTCTCTATCATCGTCTTTTTAGTGCTTCATCGGCAAATGGAAACTTTAATGCGCGACACACACCCTTATGATGATAATCCATAACCGAAATAGTTTTCCGCGCTTACAACTTGAACTTTGAGTTGCATTTCCTTTACAAAATTGATAATTTCCTACAGATGACAAACAGGATGTTTAGACTGTTACTCCTTAAATGATAAACGTCTGCTTTAGGAAAAACAATATCCAATGGAAAAGCTTGTTTTCAACATAACGCAAAGCTCCTTCAAGTCCAATCGATTTTCCTGCAGATGACAGTTTAATAAAACGAAGGATTTCCATTAGAAATATATAATGAAATTTGTCAGTGTGGAAGACACTACTTTGCACGGTTTTCCGAACCGATTAAAGATATCTTTCTTCCCAAACAGACAAATTCGATTAAACTGTTTTTGCTTCTTCACGTTATATAGTATTATTTATATGGTTTTGAAAGGTTAATCAGTTAAAAGGAGATATTATCTTCATGTATTAATACTAAACCAAAACTATAGCATTAATAATTACGGCTTCAACTAGAAACGATATTTTAAACTATTCACTGCAACTAATGGAACAACTAAAAAAACATCCAATTTACAGAATCGGTACATAAATCATCATAAAAACATATTTAAATTAATAATAAAACGGTTAAATTCATACTATTTTAAGTCGCTAAAATGTAAGGAAAATGTTTTATAAATGGTATGTCTCAATGTCAGCTGTTTGGTGAAGTAGTAGTAGTCCAAAAATGGCTGCCTGTGTCTATGTAAAGAGGGTTTTAACTAGTTTAACAAAAAGATGGAACTGATGGACTTGAATAAGAAATTACAATGAGGATGTAGATAACAATCTTTTGATATCATTTAAAACTGTCCATAGTTCAAAATCTAGTTTCACAAATCGTGTGGAAATTATTCAAATTTAATTTAGAAATTAGATGTTGAAATTATTGTTGTCTGTAAAACAGTGTGTTGTGAATGAGCTCAGCGTCGCAAAGCTCTTATTTATTCGAGACATGTCCACGTTTGGAATCAAGACCTTATTACCAGATTAAATTGAAGATACGACCTTATTGGATGCTGTACTATGAGGAGGAGGAAGAGTTTAATAAAACTCTCACGAACTGATTTTGCAGGAGATACGAAACAGAAAAAAAACCAATTCGACAATTTGATATGGAAAATGTAGCGGGATAAATCTCCCGCTCTGCTTCTATGTTTCTCTCGGTTTCTATAGTGGCGTTGTCATGGGAGATTGGTGGAAATGAATTATCGATTTGCACGTGTACTCGACATACCTGTGACTGTGATACTTCCCGTTGAGAATATTTTGAGTGTTGCTTTGGGTTGCTTTAGTTTGTACGTGAGACCAGGATGCAGTTCGGGTTCATACCTGAAAAATGCAAATAAATAAAATTGAAACGATCGATTCCATTTGATTATTGTTATTATTATTGCTGGAAGATGATCAAGCAAATTGCAATTGTTGCTTGTAAACAGAATTTACTTACTCGGCGTTTCGGTGCTGCTTCGCGAACGTGTTAATTTTGATGCCGAAGGGCATGCAACACGTCCCCAGAACGTTGACCACCCTGTAATTGTTGAAGCGCACGTTGAAGCCGAGCTTCTGGAGACAACGCGCGAATCTCCGCGCCGCGATCTTCGCTTGGATCTCGCTGGTAGCTCCCGTGCACGTCACCTTCCCCGAAGACCAGATGCTCGCCGTCGTGTACGGCCTGCGGATCTTCATAGTGATCATGCCGTTTTCCTTGCGGTACTCCACGTTCGTGCCGTTCAGCGCAATCTCGCGCAAGTTCAGATGACACCTCACACTAAAACTACACACCACATTGTTGATCACAATGTCTATTTCCGGTTCGTCGGTCTGTTGTTGCTCTTGCACCAACTCCTCCTGGTACTCCTGCTGCAAGTCTATCTCTCCTCCGGCCTGTAGGCCATGCTCCCCCGAACCGACGGCGCATCCTGTGTTCACGACGTCCGAGTATCCGGTCAGCGTCTGCAGGTCCTGCACCAAACCGTTCCCATTGGACAACGATTTTATGCCATTCTTTTGAATAGCTGTAGCCATCATTCGGAACCGGCTTCACGTCACTGTCTCACCTCTCCGGATTCACCGAGCACACACGCACACCCCTTTGCTATGGCACCACACCCTGGAAATAAACCAAATAATTAATTAATTTTGTTCAATATAAATGACTACACGCTGACACCTTGTTAATTAATTAACAAGAAGAAGAATAGAAGAACAGTTAATCACACTGTCAGCATTCAAATGACAAACACCAAGGACACTCATGAATTTTATTTAGGAATCATTCAAACCTAACGAATAGACCAATAATAGCTTCCGGTTACATACGGTTGCATAACATACAATTTTAAATTACCAACAGGTTAACTAAGGTAATTAGTAGATAAACAGCATATATGGTTGCATATACAAAACACGTGTCTCACCAACTTTAAAGATATTATTCTAATAAACTTTTACAGAAATACGAACGATTCCACTACATATGTTTTTCAAACTTAAAACAATCTGTAAACATTTGGATTCGATTTTGCAGAAATCACTATTAAACTAAATTTGATTACACCAAATTCTATATTTCAGACATTAAATTAGATTTATGAAATCAAATATTGTACAAATATTAACATTTACTAATAATGTAAAAAAGATGCAGAAAAAAATAATGTATTCATATGTTTGTATACATTATAACTGTTGACAAGGAATCAATTGTGAATATTTTTAAAACATCAGTTTAAATTAAATTAGTATTTAAATCGTGTCTTCCGTTTATTATTCCAGAAGTACTGACACGTCCGATTAGACTCATTATAATACCTTAGATGGAAACTTATACAATATATCAATTGAAAAAAAAATTGTGCACTTTTGTTCTAATCATAGATTAAACGTCAATAATTTCAATACAAACAAAAAAAAATAACAATTAGTGTAATCAGTATCCAATGTAGACAACATTCTATTATAAATGATATCCGAATTGTGAATGAGTAATTACTAATGTAACAAATAAATTATAAAAATCAATAAAGATCTGTTTATTGTTATCAAATAATATTAATAAACGTATTTCTGTTCATATACGTGCATAAATACATACAAAGGGCTATTGACCTCAGTATTTCCGCCCATTATTATCATTAAAGTTGATGCATTGCAAACTGCAAGAAATTTGGATAAACAAACAAGAGAATTGCGAACATCTGTTTTCCGGCAGATACTAGCATCCAATGTTGGAACACGTAGATTATTTATAATCGCACGCCCTTTGGAACCCTCTCGATTTGGTAATCAAGAAAACGGCACGTTTCAAAACAAAACCTAGGTGTTTGCGCGAGAGAGCTAATAATTGTTAAGTTACAGAAAGTGCGCGAAAAGATTCCTACATCAAGAATTTTAAAACATGATATAATCAATTACAAATTATGTATAGATTTTAAGATTTTAAAACGAAAACCGTAGGTTGAAATGTGATTTATATGTCTTAGTCAAAATAGCAACTGATTCGATCTCCGGAATAGTATAAGAAAGTTAAGGCCACAATAACCACATGGGTAGGTAGAGTTCCTTTCTTTCTTTTGGGCTTTAAAGCTGCAAAGATCATAAACTTGAAAACCCAAAATTTACCTGCCTTCTGAAAGAAATTCGAGAAAACTCAAAGATAGGATAACCTTCCTTATCAGGTATATATACAAAGTGATCCCTCACAGATAATGAAACTCGTACCTGCGTAACACATTTAAAAATGAAACTAATTGACAAATGCGCTAATTCAAGTTTAAAAAACAAAAGAAACCGCAAACACTTAGTCATGTTGATTTGTAGCGGTTTGTTTTCATTCATATCTAAACAACCAAACTCATAAATGATTAATAATTAAATAAACGATAAAACTATTGGTTCTAAGTACGCAAATGTTATAATCCAGATCAATAGTTAGTACAAAATTATGTAAAAAGATTTATCGTCTTAAGAGTTTCAGCCAATTTACAATAATTCCATTGAAGTTCACATATATTTGCAATCCACGCCTATCTCAATCTCAGTAGCTCAGTTTTGCAGAAGCCGAAACAAAAATCAATCGCCGAACGTTTATATAAAAAGCAAAATAACTTTTGGACTGAATAATAAATATTAATTATGCAGAGCACAAAATAAATATTAACAAGTAAATATTAACAGTGAAAATCGCATTTTATTAAAAATCAACAACAATGGAAACAGAAAAATAAACATTCGATTTTCTACAAATAAACATAATTTAAAATGGTGTTTTTAAGAAAGCAAAGAGAGTATTACTTAAAACTCGTAAACAAATATATTGGCATGGTTCGAAGCTTACGAATGATAAACATTGCCGAAGATACTAATAACTACCGTAACAACAGATGCATTCACATAACACAAGCAACTCTTGAATCTAAAACATATCACTAATCATTGTTTTCTTGGCATAAATAGTTCTTAGTTATAAAATTATTGTTTAAAAATAAACAACTATAATTGAAAATAACGTATTCTTATAACTATTTGTATGTTAATTTATCATGGATACTTCTTGTAGTGATAATCAATATACCAAATGACAAATGGCTAAGGTATCAACAACATAAGCATTTATGAAATGACTAAAGCAAGTTGAGACAGCTGCCTAAGTTGACTCACCTAAAATAATCAATGAAACAGTGTAAACTTTGAAGCATTAGTAAACTAAGATCAACTGATCTAATTCGGTGAGTTTATGTTCAAAATTAAATATTAAATGAAACATGTCACCTCGCATTTGCAGAGATTCGTGAAGATGATCGAATCCAGAGTATTTTTAGATGAAAAGAAAAAAAAACTAACTTCGCATGACTCAAATCCTCTTTAACCTAAAACACTTCTGACACACAAACGTAACTTGCAACTAATGGCAGTTAGCAACCTGAACTACAATGACACCTATCCTGAAACGAATAACGAAGTGCATTTTTACCTTAAACATCAGAGTGGGAAAAATAGGGCACAAAATGTGAATCACGCAATGCGCTGCAATTGCAGAAACAGTCATTTATTGTAGAAAAAAAAAATTGTACAATTAAAATAAGCGTTTAGGATATTTCTATTTGCTGAATAGATGTTTCAGCTAAATAGATGTGCGCCTATATATTTTTTGTTGTTTGCAAGTGTATTAACCTCGCTTTGTCAGCCTCCTTCCTTCTCGGAAGGCCCGCAGATTCTATAACTGAAAGTCTTCTTCACGTTTAACCTAAAATAGGGAGGGAAACCATAACAAATACGTAAATAGAACGGTCGGTTGGGGGGTAAAAGGGGGAGCTCTAAGCATGGGGTGTGTTCCCGGAATCCGGTATTCCAGAAACAAAGGACAAACAACCTCCCCTGGCCTACGTCGATTTCGCAACTCCGAAACAAAATTGGCGTATCGAGGAGGGAATTTCTTCTCTATTTTTTTTTTGTTGCTACATGTCTTGCTATTTGCAAGCACACAATTTTTCCATGGTTCTACGGGTCTCTGCACAGGACCGCGCGAGTGTGCAATACATATATGTATGCGCGCGTGTGTGTGTATTCTTAATGTGTGCATGCCTATATGTATGTGCGTGTACGTATGGTAGTGTATGTGTGTAATTTTCAGGCGGTGCTGAAAATGATGGATAGGAGAGGCGTTCGAAGACTTACTATATGGTGCTGTCGTTCAGCGCGACTTGCTCCGCTTCCTCCTTAGTCCTTCCTTCGTTCTTTAGGGCGTTGAGAGCGCGTGTCCTGTTTTTGTTCTCCTCTTTCTTGCCGTTTCTTCTTCTTTTTGTTACCAATTAGCGAGTGGCATCGGTGCGAGAAAACTGGGGCCACTCTCGTGAACGACGGTGCGTGTCCTTCTCACAGGATACTTCAGGACCTCCTTTTCATCACTTCGTTGCGGTGAGATGAAACATACACACACACACGAACGGCACTCACTCTCTTCACTGCGGAAACGCGTATTCGACGGTCGCACACGGCGGACGAAACTGAGCAACTCTTCGATGTCTGAGCCACTATCTCTCACCGCTCTGAGCTGAGCCGCAAAACGCCAGATAGGATCCGTCGACAGGGGCACCACACTTTCCAACCTTCTTTTCCAGATCCAGAATAACAAAAAAAAAACTAACAAAAAATTACCAAATATTTCGAAATGCGAAAACCCTTACTCTTCAGAGAAGGTTGCACCAATACAAACAATTTCTAGCACAGCTTTACTCCTCGACATCTCTAACGGGCCTATATATATCAGCACTACAATTTTCAAGGTTGGCACCAAATTGTAAGGTCAGTGCATACTTTTCAGAATCAAATAATGATGGCGCTGTTTTATTAAAATCAAATCATTTATTCATCATAAAAAATACTATTTCTTTTTGAGGTACAACTACTATATACATATCTTATCCATAAACATTTTAGTATTGTAAATAACAAAATTATATATGAATAAAAATAAAAAAAATCATTCATTAAAATACGCTAAATAATTATAAATTAACATATTGGTCAACTGATTATTATTACTTACTGAAGAAGATTATTATTTACATCTACGAAAATAAACGAATAATCCCTTGCAGTAGTTGAATTTTTATTATTGTATTAAGGTTTTATTTTGAATTTTCATTTCAATATTATTATTACTTTAAACAAATTAATATTGCAAATTTATTTTAAAATAAATATATTAATTTTATTGTATAAACATATAAAATTCAATTAATTTGTAAAAATTACCGCAATTTTAAGGCAACTAATGACATCTCATGATAGTAAACATTTTTTAAATTTACAATCATACTTGACGGAGTGAGTCAAACGAAAAGCACTAGCAATTTCAGCGTTGGCAACGTCCCGAACTTGCAACGTCAAAATATTAAATCTTACATAACCAAAAAAAAAGGGTTTCTGCCATTATTTTTTAACAACTTTCGAGGGGTAGTTTTTTTCGAAATTTCTGCGATAATGTCCGGTGCCGTGCAGAGCCGTGGTTTGGTCGCCCTGTTCAAGAGGGGTTGGAACGAGATTCCCGAGGTCATCGGCAGTACCTTCATGGGTATAATCGGTATCGGCCTGAGTATGGGTGGCCTCTACACCTACTACAAGAAGGACGGCGACTATAACAAATACAAACTGGAATACACCGTTATCAGGCACGATGACCCATTGGCCAACAGACTACAAAAAGTTACCCGGACTGTCTAGATTTGTTGTTATTGTTGAGCCAGCAATGTAGGGATTTCTTGTAAATTATTAAATAAATGTATAAATTACAAAGACTGAACAGTTCACTTAAACAAAACCCTTCTGTAGAAGAAATTTATCCCCTCAATTAATTATTATTTTTTAAATGTATTGCTGGCAGTTGTAAAGAATAATTTTTAAATAAACATTAAACAATGCAACAATAATTGGAAGATTTCCAATAGATATTGTCCTGAGAAATCAAAGTAATTGATGTTTTTAAAATTTTCATATAGAAACAAATAGATTTCATTTTTTTTTTGTTTAATTTTATTTAAATTTTTGTATATAATTATTTATAATAATCGTTTTCCTCTTACAAATCAATAAGTCTTACAAAATTAATTCAGCGATCTTAAAATAATGAATTATAGTAACAATTACAAATTTGGTTTCTTCATCATTTCCATCTTTTTCAATTATAGAAATAAATATTACGAAAGTAATGAAATAATAATTGCAACAATATAATGTTAAAAAGTTGTTTAAAAGAAAAAAAAAAGGTAGATGAGTGGGGAAGAAACAAAAAAAAATATAGAGAAATAAAAACGGTTTTGACTACTTAGTTAATTATACGAAAGTAAAGATTGTTGTTGCTGCGGTTTCTTTTCCTTCATTGTTTCTTTGTTGTTTTTCCTTGCGATAGATTATTTACAGATTTGTTTTTACGTTTTGTTTTTGTTTCTTGGTACGTTGTTGGTTCGTCTTTCTACGGAAAGAACGAAACTTAATGTTAACACCACGAGAAGAACGGGCTTTTATCTTGGAAGCGTTGCGTGAAGTTGAAAAACCTGGAGGTGTGTTGACCCTGCGACCTGAAATCGGAAAAAAACATGTTGTTTTTAGTAGGTGTTTGGTTATTTGGCGTTTAATGACTCGAAAAAGAAGGTAATAAAATTATAAGTTGATCGGAGGGATGTGTGAGAGGAATGAGTTGAAGGTTAGCAGCACAAGTAACACTGATTGGAGATCGTGCAATGGTCATATAAATAACGAGATTTAAAAATATATCGGATGTTTCATATGGAAATTTAGCTCGCAAATTTATTATTTTCAAAATACTGTTTTCATTCAATTTGTGCAAATTATATACACTTTTAATAGATTAAATTTTAAAAGGAAATTACCAATTACAAATGTATTTCTCTACATTGCAAGTGTTTTGTTCGAGTAATAGAATATAAGCATATAAACAAGAAGTTGAGGTTGATTGAAAAATTTGAAGACATGATAAACTGAAACTCGTTTATGAAAAAGTAAGAAAAATGCAGTTACGTCTATAAGAGAAATAAATACTTACAGTTTGTTACACTATCTTTCTCGCATTTCCATTCCTGCTTATTAATGGATTTCTTGCGAGCCACTTTCGGAGAGGATAGTTCTAAATTTACGCACACAGTTATTTCCATTGTATTTCGCAACTTGTTAAATTCAATCATTGCAAAAAAGCTTTATGTATGGCCATTGGAAATATGATCACTTATCATTGTTTTGGTGCATATTTTGAATTTGGAAGATTTTTAAATTTCGAGTGCGGTAACGTTTAGGAAAATATATTCTAGTCTCATTGAAAAGAAATATATGATTTTACGATAAGAAAATCATTGTTTAAGGGAAATGCTAATTATGTGCAAATGTAGAATTGTACCAATGGTAGAGCAGTTATGTTTTTTTTTTTAAATTGTGATTGCTTCAATTAACGGATAAGCATTAAAATCGTTGCCAAATATTTGTAAATAAATATATGGGATGTACGTACTTTTCAACGACGACTGCCGGCATCTGCACGAGCTGCACCGGCGATTTACCATCTCGGAGTGCCTGTGTAAGATTCAGGATTTGTCCCCGCATGACGGACATCTGACGTTCGAACAGTCCCTTGTCGAATCCCTTGTCCTGCTTGAAGAGAAGATGCAGATCGTCGCAGAGATCCTGTACGAAATTCATGTCACCAAGATGAGGCAGCACCAGGTCGCGGATCTCTCTGCTGAAGGGCACCTTCGCCTGCGGAAGCCACGCCCAATGGTAGGGATAGCCACGCCAGCTATCCGGATGTTTGTACGGAAAGGCCAGGCCGTTGTCGATGGCGGCTATCCGGATTTGTGGAAGCTGAACCAGATTCCAATCGGTCGTATCAACCAAATCCACCTGAAAACCGAGAAACGATAATGTAATAAAAAAGAACGTCTTGCAGACCGACTCCGGTTCCGCTGTCCCGAGACTGTCTTATGACCAAGAGTTGATTGCTGTTACTGCGTATTTACATGTCGAGAGATGTTCTTTAGAGATCCGTTGGTGTTACCGTGGAGACCGACCTGAGTGGCGACGGCTCCTCCACGAACAGCTCCTGTTGTTGCGGCTCCGCCCCCGTTGTTTGTGGTGGTTGTCACGATCTGCGGCTGATCGTACTTGATCAACCAATTGTCGTTTCCTCTATCGGTGTTGCGGATGATGTAGTCTAGCACGACGAGCCGCTCGAATTGAAGCTGGAATTTTTGCGCCATCCACGCCGGCAGAGGCTCCGCCTCGAACCGTCTCAGCCAATGGTCGGCATCTTTGAATCCATCCACGTATACTTGAAACGATCCGCTCTGTGCAAAAAGAAATAAAGGGTTCAGTTACTCCAAAATTAATGAAAATACTAGTCTTGAAATACCTTGGGCGGTAAGCCTATCCTGTTGAATCTTAAACCAACATTAGGGAACTGCTCCATGATTGATCGTTTAATGCGTGCTTTCTGTCTATCTATCCGTGGATAGTTGAACGTCTCCGACACCAGTTTCACCACCTGCGAAGACAATTTGAACTATAACAACAATGAACAAATCTAGAGAATGACTAACCCTAGTTTTCGGCACGATGTTCAAATCTAGCTTGGTGTCGACCAGAGAGGCGGCCGCTTCTGAGAGGTATCCCTGATTTGGTATAAGGCAGGACCGGCCGAAACAGCACGGACAGCACAACTTGTGCATCCATTTGGTCCATTTCGGGTTCAACCGGCCATAGGGTTCCTCGTCTTTCGGTTTGAACACGCCTATAATTTTCTTGAAACAAAACCAAAACCAATAGACTAAGTTAATATAAGACCCTATCACACTAAGAACAAAAAGATAATTTAAAGAGCATTGCAACAAACTACGCCCCTTGAGATTTATCTAAACCATCGCAAGGAATTTATTAATAAAAAAATATTATTAAAAAATAGAATTAGAATCTTAATAGAGTATTTGTTATATTTCTGATCTCGTGATGCATTGTTTTTATCTAAGATTATCCTCAAAATGATCCAAGTTGGCTTAATGCCAAATTTGAAAATACACTAAATCAAAATGTAAGTAACGATTATTGCTCAACATTCTATTGTCTTGAAAAAATCCAACTTACAAAATACTGCAACTTAAATACTTCCACTATAAATTACATAATTGAAAACAGTTGAAAGTCCTCTAATGGAAATAACATACACAGCTGTAAATGCAATAAAGAATAGATAATTATTCTATTCATTGCAAGTGTTGAAATACATGAATCATGAAAATTTATAATTTTCAATTTGGTTTACATTATATAAACTTAAGTTTTACTCAATGAATAATTATATGAGCAAAATCAGTTAATTTCTTGAAAATAAATAGATTCGTAATGTTAGTTATCATAAAAACAAAAACAAATTAGTCATAATGATGTGATGCAATTGACACATCATTTATATTACATACACAACTACAGTCCGACATAAATAAGACTTAAACATGCCAAATAGATAAAATCTACTAAAAATGGGTAGAATTTGCATTATCATATTTGCATACGATTGTCAAATGAAATAAAATGTCATTATCGGAGGTAAAAATATTTGTTTTTTTTTAACGCACTCTGTCCAAATTCGAATTGAAAAGCAAACAACTCTAAACTTGAAAATAATAATCATTCGAATTATAATTCAAATGAATGAGAGTTACATTCAAAAAATGACAAAATTAGAATAGATGTTGAATATTTTAAATTAGAATAAATAAATAATCACTTTATGGTGTTAGATTTAATTTTGAAACATGCGATCGTAACAACTATTATACTACGCAGTGTGCATGTGCGAAGGAATCCAAACGTTGCATTTAAGAGGCTTGAAAATGCACCGTCCCCTATATTCCTTCCGATTCATCAATTGATTTCAGTCGTGTACGCCTTGATATTGGTATTCTACAGCGTCTCCATGGTATAAAATCATCGAGATTTGAAGACGTGTCGTGGTTTTACAGGCGACTAATCAACTACAGTTAAAAACTATCAGCAACGTGATAACAGTGACCTACAATTTTCAGGAAACCTAAACATATAGACGTGGCAATTGCAGCACATAAGAAATACAGAAAGCTGCAATCATTTGCGCTAATTGCGATTCGCTATTAACTATTAAAAACAATGTATCTGTCAATACTCAATTTGTTAAGTGACAATCGCTTAGACGATTCTGACATTTGAGAATGTTAATATTGATATTCGATATCTTGCTACACAAACAAGTTAGAAGCAAATAGAATTATTATTATTATTAGTAATGATTACAAAGTGGAGACGTGGCCAGATCAAAGTTGAGAACAAATGAAATTTGATCCAGTAAAAAGAAAACACAAATAAATAAATGAGCGAAACTTACGGCTTCTGGATTTTTCACGAAGTACGACCCGCTCGACCCCTGCGATATCCTCTCGGGGTAAATGCCATTGTCTATGGCGGTTTCTGCGTTCGATACGAGGTCATTGAAGAGGGGATCATCTGCAATTGATAAAAAATAAATGTATAACAAATGTATTAATGTAACATGGATTCGATGAGTCGTGTAGTCCAATCTAACTTGACCTCGTCGCTTCAACCCAAGAAAGATAAGTATTCGATACGAAAGACAAACAAGACTCGGTCATTCATATATAAACAGAATTAAAAACAAACTATGTAATTATGGACCTTTAAAGGTGTTGCTTGGCAATATTTCAAATTCCATATGTAGAGCAGAAGGCACACAGCCACATAAGCAATTCACGTCAATAACACATGTTTCCAACAGTTTATTGGAGAAACGTGCACAATAGTTGCCGGCTCGACTCGAACTGTATGTGCAAAACGAAACACGAAAAATAACAAGAGCACACAGGTAGCCTTAATTATGCAACTGATAAAAACAGCGCTATTCCTACAATTCACGGTGCTTTTTGTACACACCACACACTCACATACAAAGATTGTGACAAAAATATTGATTTTACTAAATTAAATAAGATTGAATCTAATTACGTGATTATCGTCTTTCCTTTAACGCACATAAATAAGTAAGTTTGTTTCAACATGACAAGTATAAAAATAGAAACAATGAAAGTTCAAAATTAAAACAGAAAAATAAAAACAACAAGTTTACATAGTAAACAAATGTCACTCACAGCGACAGTTCAGAAAATGAAAGAGAATAATGGTTAACTGACCTGGGAAATGGTTATATGTGACATCTATGGTGCCAAGTAGGGGCTGGGATTCCCTATTGATACCAGGCGAGTCTGGCACAGGCTCAAATGTAACATCAGGCACTAGCCTGATGTCATCTGAGGAAGAACCATCAGACTCCTCATCAGCTCTCAAGGCACTTGTACAATGTACCTGGCAATCCACTGTTGTGCTCACCAGAATAGGCACAATCTCTGCATCAGTTGCACTCATCACAGTAACATCCACGATCACAGCCACTCAGAAAGATTGCAATAACAACAACTGTGCAACAATAACATTTAACTTTAGGAAAACAGAACCTGCTTCGCGTTTCAATCCTATCTAGATATGTACTATAAATTATCACATTGACTCATTCCTCTCTTTCAATCTCTTTATTACTCTCAATGGTTCTATCTCTCTGCCCCAAGTTTTTTTGGTAATTGAATTGTAGTAGCTAATTGGTAAATAGTAGAATTATTATCACTGGTTTTGGGGCTTGGACTGAGGAGCATCTCTTGGACGATTGCACGAACACCCCTATGGTTCACGAGCGCGCAAACATCTTGCGATTGGACTAGAATTTGGATTATCCTTTTCGAGATTTATCGCACGTACTGAGGGATAGAGATTACAAAATTAAATCCCTGCGATAATACTCTCGGCGCTCTGCGATCTCTCACTTTTGACAGGTGTCAGATGACAATGATATTGGAACCAATAGGAACAAAAAATACACACACAGACCAACACATACACAAAGCCCACTTGACATGCAGGGTTGCCAACATGCGGAACGAAAATAATTTATGACACTGCGCGACACTGGCTAAACAATAAACATAACCTATGATTAAGATTCTTCCGCACCGTGAAATAAATAGACAAACAGTTGATTCAGAGTTGAGTCGATTGTGCACAGTTTGCGTGTGAACATGGATATTGGAGAGTTGCTGAATTACAAGGTAGATGTTGTTATTTTACTTTATTTAATTTGTTTTCTTGTGAATATTCATTTGAATGTTTTGTAGCCATCTCAAGCAGTCAAGAGGCCTGCTGAGGGCGATGAAGAAGATAACGAGAATGAGCATGATAAACATAAGAGGATGAGGAGGCTCGCCAGAGCTAAGGCCAGCCGTATGACCAGACCATCATCTCCAACACCTTCAATTGCCACAGTAGATACAATCACTGATGAGGAGCGGGCAGAGATTCTAAAATTTGTGGAAACTGAGCAGACTGAGGGAGAGATTTTGGATGAAGGAGCAATCAAAAAGATCGTCCTGAATTTTGAGAAGCGATGCTTGAAGAATCGCGAGATGCGCATCAAATTTCCCGATGCTCCAGAGAAGTTTATGGAGAGCGAAGTGGAATTGCACGAGGTTCTACAAGAGATGAGAGTTTTGGCCACGGCTCCAGATTATTACCCGCTTTTGATACGTTTGAGCGTAATTCCCAGTCTTCTTGAGCTCTTGTCACATGACAATACAGATATTGCTGTAAGTGCATTTTTATTTATTTGATATACTTGATTATGTTGATTTAATTTTTAGGTGGGAACTATTGAGTTACTGCAAGAAATGTCTGATGTGGATATCCTGAATGAATCAGAGGAAGGGGCTGATGCATTGGTGGAGTCACTGTTGGAGCATCAGATTATAGCGCTTTTGGTGCAAAATTTGGACAGGTTGGATGAGACTGTGAAGGAGGAGGCAGATGGAGTACACAATAGCTTGGGGATTGTTGAGAATTTGACGGAGTTGAGACCGGAGATTTGCAATGAAGCCTCCAAGCAAGGTTTGCTGCAGTGGTTACTGAAACGTTTGAAAGTCAAAGCGCCTTTCGATGGAGTAAAGTTATACGTGAGCGAGATTCTTTCCATCCTGCTGCAGGATAACACGCAGAATCAACTAGCTCTGGGAGAGATGGATGGAATAGATACATTGCTTCAGCAACTGGCTTTCTACAAGAAGCACGATCCCTCCAACGCGGAGGAACACGAGCTTATGGAGAACTTATTCAACTGCTTGTGCGGATCACTGCTCTCTGTTCCGAACAGAGATAAGTTCTTGAAGGGCGAAGGGCTGCAGTTGATGAACTTGATGTTGCGCGAGAAAAAAACGTCCAGGAATGGCTCGTTGAAGGTGCTGGATTACGCGATGTCTGGGCCTCACGGTAAGGACAATTGCAACAAATTCGTGGACATCCTAGGTCTGCGCACAATCTTCCCGCTGTTCATGAAGACTCCCCGGAAGAACAGGAAGAGGGTGCTGTCGTCGGAAGAGCACGAGGAGCACGTGGCTTCCATCATTGCTTCGATGTTGAGGAACTGCAAGGGTCCACAGAGGCAGAGATTGGTCAGCAAATTCACGGAAAACGACCACGAGAAGGTGGACAGGTTGATGGAGCTGCACTTCAAGTACCTGGAGAAAGTGGAGGCCATTGATGATGGGACTGATGAGGATGAATCGTACATGAAGAGGTTGGAAGGTGGACTGTTTACTTTACAACTAGTAGATTATATCGTCTTAGAGGTCTGCAACGCAGGACCTGCGAGCATCAAGCAACGCGTGGTGCAGGTGTTAAACCTTCGGGGAGCATCTCTGAAGACTATTCGACATGTCATGAGGGAGTATGCGGGGAATTTGGGGGAGGAGGGCGACAAGGAGTGGCGAGACCAGGAGCAGCAGCACATCCTACATCTCGTCGACAAATTTTAATACTGTTTAGTTATCTAATGACCTTAATTTCATACTAATTATTAAAAGATCCTTTGGTATCCAATTGGATAATTCTTTAAGTTGAAAGAGTCAATTTTATTATTCTACTTCCAAATAAAATTTCTTTTATCTTTTGTTTTACATAAAGCAAAATAGTCCTTAGAAAGGATGAAGAAAGAAATTTCAATTGTTCAAAAATATATTTGAATAATAATCATAAATACAAATTATTAAATAAAGTTTGTTGGATAGAATTCCTCTCTCAAATAGATTGCCCTCGAGCAATTTTATTCTCGCCCTTCGAAGACAAAAAAAAATAAATAGAAGAAAAGAAATGTTACAAAATAGTTCTTTACAAGTATAACAAAAAATATAAGTGTTATTAGCAAAGGTTCCCATAGTTACGGAACAACAATAATTTTAAACCCGGAACAAAAGAGAAAAACACGATACATAATTCGTTAGTTTTAAAGAGTTTTTTTATTTGATGTACACTTCACAACCCAGCGACGACCAACTCCTCGATTTTATTACTATTTTAGATCAGTCTGACCAGCCCACAATAAATCACCAACCAAAATGTATAAAAACGAAATAGCCGGTAGAAACGCGGAAATTTTAAGGATAAATAATTATAAAGTATGCCATGGAAAAAAGAAAGAACAGTCGAGAATAGGGAATGCACAGAAATGGTGGTGGATGGAGGACAAAAGCACAAAAAAAATATTAGAAAAATAAAATAAAAACGTAAATGTATAATATATGTATATTAAATATAAAATGGCACAGCATTTCTTCTTTTTCCGCCTTCCGTTAAACTCATCATCAACCAATTATCGCTCTATTATTTCCGTTCGCCCTCTCGATTTGCCTGATAGGCTGCGACACTAAAACCAGCATACACGAACCCAGAAGAAGTTATTACCTGAATGGATAATTCTCAAACGACACGTGTGGCATTGTCCCGAAACGTTTTCTTTCCCGAAAGTTCATTTCAAAAGCAGCAGAAAGAAAACAACGAAACAAAATATTAACTCTCTAACATTAAAAAAAAAACTAATGTGCACACTTTTAAACAATAAAAATAATCATAATTCAACCGATTGGGGAGGGGGTTTCTCAACCAACGAAAGGAAAAATAATGTGTATATATATAAAAAAATATTTACACCACTTACAATTTACTTCTTCGCCTAAGGTTGTTTTACTTCAACACTCATTCCTTTTCACTTTCTCTCTTATTCTCTTCAGTCCTGATGAAAATCAGGTGATGAAAAATATTTCCACCGTAAATATATATATAATCTTTTTTTTGTTAAATTATTATTTATATATGTATATATATATAGAATTCTTATTTTTATTTTTTCCTTTTTTTGTATTTTTAATATGATATTATGTTTTGCCTGGTGGTCCTTTCTCCACTTTATACATACATATATATATTTTATATAGTAACAATTTCATATTCTTTCTCTCTCGAAAGTTGAAAGCGCACAACACCACTCTCAAACGCGCACTATCTGTCCTAGAATTCCCCAATAGATAATTGTCGTGTTTTGGTTTTGCGTTCCGAGTCTTCGTCGCTTAAGACAGATAGAAGGAGTGCTGACCCTCGGAGGCTGCCACCTTCAGCTTTTCACGCATCACTTCGAGGCTGGAGTAATCGGGAAGCTTGAGGTAGTTGACGCACGTCATCACAGAAGGAAGGAAGTCATCGGGATTCATGTTTACGTCCAACGTCCGTCTCACTACGGTCAGTGGTGGTGAGAGCGACTTGAATCCTAAATAAAATTTGTCTCGTTAAAAAAAATGCGCCGGATTTATTCGATAAACTCACCTCCAACTGGGAGCCTAGGACTTCCAGTCAAGAACTGCACAAACAGACGCTGCTGTTCACGATCGTACGAGCTGAGCACTTCGAACAGGAAGCGAATGGCACGAGAATCCGCCGTGTAACCGTGGTCCGGTCTGCAACATTCCATCAAAGTCTTCACGTCCCAGCCGGTAATGGCATCTCGCGGACTACCGCAGAAGACGGCCTCCAGTTCCTCTGGTTGGAACATCCGCAGGTTCTGGATGGGGAACACCGACTCGAATCCTTCACGTAGGGCTTCCATCTGCCTGTTCACACCTTCGAATAGGAACCAATGGTTCACGAGGTTCGTATATTGATGTAAATTGTGGATCGTCACGCTTGTTACGCGTCCGTTCTTGATAAGCTCGACGTTATGTCCCGGCAGAACAAAATCTATACCTAGATCCGTTATCGAACATCCATCGAATTCCAAAGCTTCGATCTACATAGATGTAAATCATGTATTAATATACCTGACATACACAGAAAATATGTAATTGCTAAACCAACCTGTGTCGTTTTATCTGCGGCCGACAACTCCGGGTTCCCCAAGATTGCGTCTCGTTGTCGTACGATATCCTGCATCTTCCTCAAGGTCTTGTGAATATCTGGAGTAATATGCGCCAAATCTCCCAATCCCAGGCTATGCTCCTGACCCAACAACCACCTGTAGAATGTTAGCGAGAAAGGCAAGTCCAGCTGTGAATTACAGAAATGTATATGAATAAATCTTATGCACTTTTATTAGAAAATGTATCCTTCCTTACCATTCTAGAATCCATGACCGCTTTGGCCATGAACTTGCCCAAGAACCGGAATTTGGTTTTGATTTTAGATATCTGAGAGACCTTGGCTCCTCTGGCGATCGGTGCAGGAAAAAGGCCAACGGCATTATGCACATAATCGCCGGTATTCTCCGGTGCGTGCCAAAGTTCCAGGTCGCACTTCTGTAGTTCTTTGGATACGAGAGCGTAAAACTCTAACGTCGGCCCCAAGCCGGTTCCTACCTCGTTCTCATATTGCACTTCTAGCAGGGCCTTCGAAGATGCAAGATCCTGCATTACTTGCTCCGCCTGTTTGAGAATGTCTTCGCGAGAAATTGTGCGTTTCCTCCGATCCAAGCGCGGCGTTACACGTTCTTGAGAGTCTGTGCTTGTTAACTCCGGAGACATGTCAAGAAGACGTTGGAGAGCCCTGTCCCTATCAAAGGAGGTAGCATAGAAAAGTAGTTGCCTTGTCTCGAATGGAAATAGGAATGGACAGACAGAGGCAATCTGTTGTAACCAGTTTGGTAGATTTCCAGTCATAATCACCAGAGGATCTTGAAGCTGACGGGACGCCTTCGCGGCAATTTTACTATTTAGAAAGTCTTGCGTTGGTAGTATCGTCCTAATCTCTACTGCCGGGTAAAGCGTGGTCCAATACATATTGATGGCGTTCAGTATTCGCAACAAGCAGAGCACTTCGAGTGAAGCATCTTGTATCGTCACTGTTTCTGGCAGGGAAGTAACTAAGAAAGGCGACAGAGGCGAATGCACCGACGGAGTCATACCATCGTTCCAAAGATCATCTCCTTTGCGGCGGGATGCATTTTTACTGCTGGAGCCCTTTCCCTTCCTGCTTGAATGAGTGGATGAGCTGCCGCTAGAGGTGGACTTTTGGTTCGGTGCTGGTTCTTCCTTGAGTGGCCTGTAATAGATTGTGTGCGTCTGTACCCAAACCCCCGCATGACCCAGAGGAGTCTCGTTGTCCGTATCGGTTTCACTTTGGTCATTGCCGTTGTTACTAAATTGTCGCACCGCTTGATAAACGGTCATGTTGTATGGCAGCACGGTATTGCCAATGAGGAACTGTAACTTGTGTTTGGATCCAGACTGCGAGATCACAACTGTCGCGAGTGTATCCTCGATATCATCATCTGTGTCACCGTCATCGCTGTCCGCGCTATCTTTATCACGAACACGTCCATACCCTCTTACAACTAGATACCTCTCAATAGCCTGAACAAGAGCCAATGGATCGATCTTTACCGTACCGCCCTTCCACTGCTTCAAATTGGCGCACTCCGGATGGCGTTGCAAATTGCACTTCAGTTGATGAGTGTTAAAAAACTTAAGAGCGCTGGTACCGCCCCTTCCGCCGCCACTGTTTGCCGGAAGATCATGTACCTTCACCGGGAATTGCTCCAACTGTGAAACGCATCCATTCAATTTCGAGACAAGCGCTCCCATCCAGGTACCGTTTAGTTTCTCCATAGTTCCTGTAGAGGCATCTGCTTCCAGAGGACAATTTGCGAACACGTTTAAAAAGATACGTAATCTCTGATCCCTATCTATTGACCCGTTGCCAGCTGCCAAGTATGACAGTAGTGCCTTTATCAAACCGGAATGGTTTACCTCAAATGGGGAAATATCTGATTCGATGAGAATTTCGCGCAGCTCGTACAAAGCACCGCCGCACTCATTCGTAGGCAACTTCTGGATGCAGGCCTTCAAACGTGAAAGCACGTTCATGGCCGGATGTTGTGTACCGGTCAACTCATTTCCGGAGTAAGAGTCAATAAATTTCGTTGCCTAAACAAATAAAAATAAAAGATAAATACATATAATCTACAGAAACTTTCCCATTAATATGATTGAACATCGAACATTACAAATACGCAACCACTGAACCGATCTGAACTAGTAATTTATAATTAATTACCTGATCTCGAATCCATGTACGTGTTTTTTCTCTGTTGCCTGCTGTCAAGTTAGAATTTGATGTGGACTTGTTGAGGCAGCTGGTCATTTCCTTGCTATAGTTTCTGTCGTGCGAAGAGGAATTCATGTTCCTACCCCAGTGTGCGGGATTAAAGTTCTTTAAGAAATTAGAGGCCTTCGAAGATCCAGTAGAATATCGTGGTCTAGATAAGAAACAAACGTTAATTGATTTTAATGAATTGACTAATCGATTGAATTATTACCTATTTGTCGTAGAGTTTGTTGGTGTATTTGCAGAGTTCGGTCCGAGGGAAGCAGTTTTCGTAAAAATGTCTTGAATTAAAGAAGGTGCCAAAGGAGTTTCATCATGTCGAGATTTGGAAGATCTACCGCCGCCTCCGGCACTGCTTCGTTTACCTGCTCTTTTGCGTTTCAGAACATCGCTGATACGAGCGTGGGATGGACTCGGGGAACGTCCCTCTCCATCCGCGGCCGCAGAGCTTCTCATGTGTGGTTCTGGTGTCGATGTGTAAAGAGCCGTGCTAGAAGGAGCGGTATTGGGCACTGTAACGGCTGTCCCATTTGGTGTAATGTTCACTTTGTTGCTAGAGGAAGTTTGAGAAGTGCCCGGTTGTGAGCTGTCCATGGAGAACGACATCGCACTCGACGTTGCCGATTTCGGAGGGCTCACGCCTAATGGAACATCCGGATCGGCAAGCTGATTGATTTGATGCATTACTCCTTCGCGTCTGAAGTGAACACCGAATACGTCCGGTAACTTCGAGATTAAAATCTCAGCCATCTGCAGTGATCCTACCACAATTCGCAAGTCGCTAGAAGCCATCATTCCGGCAATGTGGCTACTAACTACCTGATTTTTGAGCACTTCCTTTAGTAATTCTGGGGTGGCGTAATAGACCATTCTGAGAAGAGCTTTCAGACATTTACAACGGACAGTTGGTCCTGCACTTGACGAGTAGACTTCGTATAGAACGGAAAACAGTGATCGGATAAATGCGGCTGCCAATCCTCGTTCTTCCCGAAGACAAGCGACCCTGGCGTCGCGATTCGCCGAATTGGGACGACTTCCTGCTGGCATCAATGGTTCACTGGCAGGCGTGATCTGCGTATTCATAGGTGCAAACCTTCTCTGAACCGGTCTTGTAGTTCCCGTATCTTCGTTAATTTGTTGAAGCGAGTGAAAGTCTATGGTGTAGGTACGACCTAAAGTATTCAAGCTGACTTCATCGTCGCCGTTCATGTGAGCTGCCTCAATCATCCTGCTGTCGACAGCACCATACGGGTGCCATAATCCCCTATCATCTTTCCACTGCCAAGTCGGTTGATCTTTACCAACATTTGTGGGTCTTTCCAGTAAACCATCAACGACAAAGATGCCGTCCGTTGGAAGCTTGGGCATCAGTTCACCAATTAGAGCAGTAATCTCGTACAGCTCCTGAGGTTGTCTAGGCACTAGTTCCACTTCATCTTGATTCACTTCCACCGATCCGGTCAACAAGTATAATAATGTCTCAGCAATATTCTGCTTCAGCAGAGTCAACGCCAGATCTGGACAGTTTGCGCACATGACGGAGAGCATTCTGAGAACAGTGATGAACGTGCCGGTACTAATTACCGGTGGCGTGACGACCAGCAACTGCTGCAGATTTGTCAGCAGATCAGTGCTCGCTATTTCTTGTAGTCTTGCTGGCTCCAATTGAAAACTGTCCACTAATCTGCTGAAGGCCAAGCAGACACTCTCAACACTTTTCTTATCCTGTTGTGTCAAACGGTTCGCCAATAGCGGTAAAGATTCGCCAACGTACTGAAACTCTTCACTTGTCAGATTTAGACAACAGTTTGCTGTTACAGACAGAGCGTTCCTTTGCGCATTAATCGAGAAGAAGTCTAAGTACATCAGACATGCCGCAACTCCCCTCTGTAAACATTATTACCAGTTATGTTATGCATATATATATAATAATAGATAAAACTTACAGCTTGTAGGATTGCCTTTGAGTGTCTTCTAGAAAGCATGTCGAGAGCAGTAAGCGATTGCTCCGCAACATCCATGCATTGGATCACTTGCAGCTTTTCTAAAAATACCGGAACTGCATCAACTACGACTGCTGATGACCGAGGAAGAGCTTCCATCATATACGTTAAAGCGCGACAGGCGTGATTCATCTAAAAGAAATTATGATAATTAAAAAAATATTTTATATGTGAAAGCGCATTAATAAGCTTACAATGTCAAAATTATGCTCCATTCTAAGTAAATTAATCAAAGAAGGGACAACTTGTTTGACCGGAAATCCAGTGAGGGTGTCCTCGTTGCCCATCACCAACATTTGGCACATCTCTATGACAGCTTGCAATTGTTGCCCTTCGTCTCCGGTGGCCTGCAGCCCTTGCAGCAATTGCTGAGCCTTCGTCGCCGCTAAAATAATACATACGATTAACTATTACTGGAAACCACAAGACAAAATCATTCAACTTACAGCTGTTAGCACCCATACTTCTGTGCAACAGGTGCTGCATCCTTGGTCCAAGGGCGCCAAAAAGATGGGGAGGAAGACCGCGAGCTTCGAGAAGAGCCTGTAATCTTCCGACTTCGCTGTCATCGCTCTCTGAGTCTGCCCCAGGACCGGAAGGACCTCCACCACTCGCCATCGCAAGAGTTGCTTCTTGAGGAGAAGGTGGTTCGTCTGAAGCTTCGAAAACAATACAAAGTTTGAAATTATTACCCAATATACAGCAACAAAATAAAACCACAAACTATGAAATATATCTGCTATATCAAATTCGTAAAACAGTGCGTAGTAATCATCCAATAGATCCATCTTACAAATTGTAAATGATATATATGTATGTAAACCGAAAACAAAATCAGAAAACGAATGACGTTGACATCACTGATTGGGAAGATTCGTTGAAGTGGTAGCTTTTAGCATCATCGCTGACGAATCTGGCACTATCACTTTCTTTTAATGAACACACACAGGTAGTATGCACACAAAACGAGCACCTCCTCTCCTTCGTTCCCGTGATTTGGGTTAAAGCCGGTGAGGAGGTATCAACAAAAAAATCTAATGACAGATAATTTAACATACGAGAGCTTGATACGAACCGTCTTCGATTTTCCCTTCGCGATTCGACAAAAACAACATAAAACAATTCCAATGACTGAACGAAAATAAATAAAATAGAAACGGGATCTAGAGCAGATAAAAACGAAAAAACGGAGCGGTATTGTACCAGCAGTTCAAATATAGCATCCAAGGTCGGTGGTGTTTAAAAATATTAGTTTGTTTCACGCGAAATGTCCGATTTTTCTATAGGTGATTATAAATATACACAGCTAATAAAATATAATTATTTTCATTCATGTATCATGTCGCTACAAGAATATTTTATGATTTTTCTACAATATGCTATAATAATTGATAATCAATAGCATACTAATAATAAAGGCTACAAATCGTTGAACGTGTCACTACTAAAACAGTGCTACCATTTAACTAAAACATGTATGTGGCTGGTGCAATCGGTGTAAAGTTTACCTTGTAGTCCATTATTGGGAATGTCAGATTGGTCGGAAGCCATTGCAGGGGTGGCTGGGACAGGGGCAGGAGCGGCCGCCCCCACCTTATGTTGGCGGGACGCTCGGCTGCTGCTGCTGGAGCCTCGGCCACCACTCGAACTGGCACACGAACCCGTTGTTGCGTTGTGCCCTGCAAAGCAGAGAGTAGTAACTGATTACACAAGGCACCATGCACGAGTCTCCATACAAGACAACATAGTTCTAACCAAGGCAAGATTTTCAAGAACACCAACGAATACAACAATACTTGTTTCGCCTCCTTCGGCTGATGATCAACATTTGTATTATTTCTTTGTTCTTCACTGTGAATCATATGCTATGCGTATGTGATGGATTTAAAGTAAATGATCAAATCTAGACTTGCTCACTCTAAATTTGTAAATATTGATAATAGTTGTATTACTTATCGTTTTTTCGACTGTTATAGATAAAGAGAAGCGATCAATGTTTACTTAGTTTAGCAATTTCAAAATGCTTTCTTTCTTGCGATTTTAGGAATTCGGAAATATGTTCATATCAAATGTAAGAGTAATATTAAAACTTTAAATGTGAAATATTACAATTCAGATGAGATATTATTAAATATTAAGAACTTGCTTACCTTTGCTATTGCGAGTGCTGCGTCTGAGAACGGCGCCGCTGCGGGTGAGACGTGAAGGCTCCGAGTCCTCCCGCTTGGCCTGATGACTGCTGGTGGCCCCCAGTGCTGCTGCAGTCTTCCTTGCGTTTAGGTTATTATTATTCTGATTGTGCTGTAGCTGTTGCGGCTGGGTAGTGGACGACGCTTCCTGCAGCGTCTTAATGCAAGATAGGGTGGACGTCAAACAGGTGGGAGCCGTTGAAGGTCGACCCGGATCGGAAACGCGACCTTGACTTCTGAGCGGGTACTTGTGTTGTCCGCAAGTGGATGAGCTACTGCTGCTGCAACTCGCTTCGGAAGATGCGCTGAAACTGGCGTTCTTGCTCCTGCCTTTCCTAGGTAGACGTGATGCAATCTCCTCGTCCTGTCCTTTCGTGCTGGCACCACCACGCAAAGCGTCTACGGACTTGCGGGTTTTGGGTTTCGTCGTCGTAGCAGATGTTGATGCCGAGGTGCTCGGCGTCGAATCCAAACTGGACCTGGTGCGCGGCTTCGAGGTTTCCCTAGACTTTCCGGCAACAACCGCCTCCTCGCGCTTCGACTTCTTCGATGTCTCTGGAACCAAAGCTGCGTCCTCGTCCTTCAAGGAATTGTTATATCTGGACAGCCGCTTATTATGCTTCTGATTAGGTTGTGGGTTGGAGGACTTGGAAGCGGCTGTGACGACAGCGGCGTTGCGTACGTCCTCCGTAGATTTAGAAGACCGACCGGACGAGCCGGATGGTCTACTAGAGACGGGTTGGTGATGGCGCTGATGTGTCGTCGAGGATGCAGACGACGATGATGCCGTCTGATTGCGGCTACGATGAACCGGGGAGGATGGCTGTGACGGGGGAGGCGGAGAAGGCGTCTCCGTACGGAGTCTCTTGCTCTGGGCAAGGTGTGGGGGCAGCGCACGCTTGCGGCGGCTTGTGCTGGCACCAGCGGTGGCGGTGGCACTAGCTGGATCTGCCATAGACGCTCGCTTCACAGCACCACCCTGCAGCCACACTCATTCCCTCGTATCTTCAGAGACAAAATAATTGACCGCAGCCTGCAACAAAAACAACAATAAACTCAAAACATCAATACAATCATCAACAAAAAACCACATTAATCATCTCTAATAGGAAATAAAAAAAAAGCAGACCCCATTTTTTTTATTATCACAATTACCATTCAAGTTTATTGCAAGTATAATGTAATCTTGCATAAAAATGCAGTTCAGAATCACCTACATATACAAAGCTAATTGCTATACAATGCCTCATTAAATATTTTGTGATAACCTGGAAATACCCAATCTAGAACGAATTTCAATTGTTCTAATTTGCTTAACAAAATCCTTGACAACTTACAACCACAATATAATATAGTCAATAAAAAAATAATTACTTTCTGAAGAGTATTTTTTTAAACTCTATATGAATCACAGACATGAATGTTAAAAAAATATATATTAGACTTGAGTATTCTAGACTAATACAGAAAAATCATAACAATTGATGACCTTAATCAATATTGTACATGCATGTAGATGCATCAATTAAGAATAGAAAAACAAATATTTTTACTAATCACAAAGAGTCACCCAATATTATGTTCGATGGGAGTATAACATTCTGAAATATGTTTAGAATAATGGACTTACCAGATTAAGATGTGTAAATAGTAGATTAAAATGTAATTACTTTAACAAACAAATAAGAGGGATGATAATAAAAACAACAACTGTTTTTGCATTAAGTGCATTACATGTAAATGCAATATTTTAAGGTTAGCAATTTGACAATTGGATGCAACTGCAAACCATCCGGAAGTTACAATCACTCGGATATCTTGAATATCAGCAATTACATAAAATGTGAATGACTTTATTAACTTCCATTTGATAACAATTTTTCACTCACGCATTAATAAAGATGATACCTGACTTATGTTAGAGTAAATTTCACAATTATTTGCATCTGACTAAATTTACATCTTCAACATTTTCTTTCGATACAAATTACATAATCATTAAATATATTTCAAATATTATATTCTTATTAAATATAGTTGTTATAATTCTTTGAATATTAAATGCAATGTTAAAAGTAAATGATTGATTGAATTAAATAAATAATGAGTTATATAATAAAGAGAAATAAGCAATGAGTTAAGGTATTAGATAAAAGTCAGTCAATTGCAAATATGTTTTCTGAAAGCAGAAAATTGTTTTGTGGTTGCTAGAAGATTCTATTATTCAGAAAATATATAAATTATATAGGCTTTTCTTACATGATAATTAGGAACTAGAAAATGTTATTTGTGTGCAACTAAATGTCAGATGTCTTGGAGGTTAATGCATAAAAGTCTGATGATACTCGAATAGTAATCAAGTGACACATGAGCATAAAGGGAAAAAATGGCACTTGAGGAAATGTCAAATAGAAACAATAGTAAAATAATGTTTTGTAAATACCTTCCACAATAACAACGAAAAGGAGAAACAGGAACAACTAAAAATAGACACCACAATTATGTCTATTCCAAACGAAATAGAGGAACGCGAAAACTAATTGTTCAGAGGCAGTGATTGTGATGAAGAGGAGACTCTCGTTCAGCTCGGTTCAGTGACGTTCCGAGTCTAAAAATAAAATCAAGATACCCGAATTCGATCAGACAATAACAAAAGAAGCGATCGTTTCCGTCTTGGTCCGCGATGAAAACGTGAGGGGGGTGGGCGGAGGGTCGAAGCACTGACCAATCGCATACAGACTATGCAAATGTGAGACAGTCGGATGACCAACCAGAAGACCTGCGTCCTCCTTGCACTTTACGAGGGGGCCCAAACTATGCACTGAAGAACTGCACTAAACTTCATTTTACAGATGTTTACAACGCTGCCATGTTGTTCAGCCGAGCGGAAAGTCGACACAGAAATAACAGATATTGTTGCTAAATGTTGATTGTTTCTTCCGATTTTTATGTAATGTTACTCACACGTTCGCTCACCACTGAACTAGCGAAGTGCAAACTAAGGAATGCGAAACAATAACAAAGAAACATGGATAACAGCAGGCATTAGCAACAGCTTTGTTTATCAAAGAAACAAACAAGAAAATAATAAATAAATAAAGCTCGATGACGCACGGCAACGCCGCAAATGTATATAATAGCACCATCTAGGACGGTGCATTCTTCGTTCTTTTTTTACTAGTTTTTACTCACTTGTTTATGCGAGTGTTAATAAACTTCAATAGATGCAGGAGAAAAATATTGTTGATGGTTTTTGCGTTTATATATGTATGTGTAGAAATACGTTACCGATTCTTGGCACCATATCCAGTAGTTTCGTTCGAGCGAGAGAGAATTTGCTCCTTGGAAATACCGGATCTCAGCGAAATGCTCCGGATTTCAACTGAACTATTCTCGAGATACAACTCGAACCCTTTGCTTTCTGTTCCCCCAAGACCAGAGTCGTCCTCTCTTCCCCTCTACCAACTATTATCAAATCGGCAAAACTAATCCTCACGCACACTCCGGGCTCTGCTCTACCCAAACTGTCAAACGACGATAATGTCGGAGATCGAACAACAGGCTGCCAACATTATCAACAAAACAGAACCAAACAATACAGCAAAAACTAACGTGAAAAAAAAAAACAATTAACTAAAAATAATCTCTATTTCCATGGAACTCTTCCTATTTATTTATTCCACTCAAGCAAAAAGTAAAAAATCAATTCAGAAAGAGAACGAAATGAAACCAACCAGCCAATGTTATAGATTAGGTTGGCAACACTGAAGCCAAAATCACACAGCACGCACGCATCGTTTTAATTATCCTTATCATCCTGGATTCGTTTATTTTAAAAATATTTATTTTATGCGATAACCAAATGTATTCGAAATGTTCCAACAAATGTTTGATTTGTCTGTCCGCCTATCGCTCACCCGATTTAGTTAATATTATTAAAATATATATATATATATATATTTAATTCAACGACACAACATTTTTATTGTTATTATTATTTAACATGATGGAAAATAACGTTAATAAATGTGCCTCGAAATCGATGCTTTTCGTTACGGGCACTGCGAAAAGACATCAAATATGATGCGGCAATGTGGGTGGATAAAAGAGAGAGAGATATGTATAGTGGGGCGGTCGTGCGGCGGTGGTGACATCTTGCAGTACTATGCAGCACGAATCTGCCCTTTAATCAATTAAAGGCCTCCGGTGCTGGACGAGCAGAGTGCATCTGCAGATTCGAATGAGTCATGACAGATGCCGTCTGGTGTGCTGCACCTGCCGTTTTAAAGGGCAACAGGGGAAGTCCCCGGGAATAATTCCGGAAAAAAACAGACACACTGAGAGAATTTTTAATCTCCGTTTCAAATTGAACCTGATTATTCATTTATAACTAACCAAAATTAACCTTATATATGTCACGGTACAGGTACATAGTGGGATATTGTATACATTTTCCGGTAAATGTATAATTTTGTAGATTGCAAATATTGAAAATGTGAAATTAATGGAGGAGATAAAAATAATAAGAGGAAAATACCGATGAAAATTTATTTTCAAACAGTAATTAATCACAAACAGATTTTTATTATACATTAAAATAATTATTATGTTTTTAATAAATAATTTAATAATAACTTTAATAAATGACATATTATAACAATACTATTATCCAAAAAGACGTTGTAAATCATATTATACATTCATACAATATTCTTCATTTATGGCTGCGTTCGCACATTCACCTACCAGGTACGTTCAAAGTGAGTACAATGTAATTTTCCTAATTTCCAGTGGCAAATGTGTGTTGAATGTACACATAATGTACCAAATAGAGTGATAACATTTATCGTAAAATGTATACATTATCCCAAATATGCACTTATACCGTAACATATATAACATTTAAAGCTATTAACTATTTTTCTGCAATAATTCAATATTCTAGTATAAAAATGAAATTTTTGAGAATTATATTTTAGAAAGACTTCTACTTCAAGAACTAAATTTCAAAAAATATATATAAACAATTGAAACATTAAAACAAAATTATTACGTATAATTGAAATGTCCTCCACCTAAATTTAATCTAATAATTCGTAAATAATGATTACTATTATATGCATCTATACAGATTCAATATCAACATTTATTTAATTAAATTGTAAATATTTTAACGAAAGTTTCAGATTCATAGAAAAGTGTTAAAATTAAAAAAAAAATAAAAATATGAAATTAAAAAAAACTTAAAGACTTAGTATCAAATAGGTGGTTTTTATAACCCAGAGCTTACGTAGACTTATGACATAAGACAGTTGAAATTGACGAGTATCTTCTCTATAACGGCCTTCTTTAATTATGATACTTTTTTGATTTACGGCCCAAAATGTTTCGATAAACGAAAAACAAATTTGATTAAATGTTTATATAAAAATAATTCATTCGCTATACGGCTAAGTTTTCCGTAGTAACTTGTATTAATACAAGTAAATTAACAAGTACCGAATAACTGGTTATACAATTCAGGTTTATGTAGGCTTATGATTTTAATGACACAAGATACTCGAAGTTGACATAAAAGACTTGAGTAGAATGGTCTGAATCGAATGAATGTAAGAAATGAGCAAATGTGAGTAAATCGACGCTGGGATTTCGAAGGTATTCAATAATTGTAATATGGAAATAATGAACGGTGTCGTCGTGGTGTGCGTGCGTGCGTGTGTATTTGTGTGTTGTCGATCGATCGGATGGGTCGTTGGGTCGTCCAGGAGAGAGGAAGGAAAGTCTGGCGCAGAGAGAGCATCGCGAAAACATCCCCCGGGTTCAGTCAGAACCGGGCCGGCAGTTCGCGAAGCTCTTGCCTCTGGACGAGTCGCACATTCCTCTCTCAATCCCCGCACGAACTTCCTCGCTCGCGCTTCTTTTGAGTGTCGCGACGCACAGGACAAGTTCCCTACCATCCGAACGAATCCGTTATACATAAAAAAGAAAACGGCAAACGTAAAAAGATTGCAGGAATTGTAAGTGCGTTTATTATTTTTTTTCAATGTTTCATCAAAACTCACGGTGTTTTCTTCATTCTCCTCTTCTCATGATTGGGGATTCGGGGATCCGCTGAAGTTTCAAAAGAAGTGGGATCACTGAGCTACTATTATTCTTTCTCTCTTTTGTCACTGACAGCGCGTCACTGGGAATTTTTCTTGATTGGTCTTTGTTTTCGATTTGCTTTTGTTTGGTCTTCCCTAGATGTTCGTGATTTTGTTGTTGTTTGTTGTTCGGTCCAGCAGGAGGATGAGGTTTCGTGAGACGACGATGGGAAACAGCTGAGGGTCGTGCTGGCACCCGTTGCCGCCATGGCCGTCTGAGAAGGGTGCCATGCGTTTCCAGTCAGCAACGACGACGAAGCGGACTTCCTCGCATCCTTCTGCTCCTCCTCCTCCACCGCAGATCTTTCCGCTGCTGCTGGTGCTTGCACTCGCACCCGTCGGCACCCTCTGCTCAGCCACCCACCAGCAGACTTTGCTCGTCCTCTCCGAGCTCTGCCACCATCGATTTTCACTCGACGACGGTCTCAATCTCTTCGCTAACTTCTCATTAAAGATGGTCCCCACAAAAGGTAACTCTTTCTTCCATAAGAAACACTGTCAAACTGAACTGGTATTCTTTCGCATGAAGAATTCTGCGACGAGGATTCTCTGTGGGTGCTGCAACACGTTGCAGCTGGTCATCCTGTCTTGGGTACCCTTAGACCAGAACTCTGCGCTCCCGTACAATACTTCTCTCTTTACCACAACGTCACCATGGCTATTTGGAATTGTCCCCAGGTAAATACGTTCAAAAAATATGACCATCAAAATCCATCTTCACTGCACAGAATCAAACAGATTTTAAAACAACAGTTTCATTCATTTTCATCAAAGAAATCATTAAAACTAGCTAAATGCCAATATGTCTTGTCACTCAATTGTTTCCATACAACAAATCATATGCATATTGCACAAAGCATATTGTTAAATGTATTTAAAATTCAAATAATTCAGTGCGGAAAGCTTTAAATATTCTTTTTTTTATGTTTATTTATTAGAAACATTAAACTAAAATGTAAACCAATAACCCAATTAATTGAATTTTCATAATCGACAAATAGAAAAATCCATGAAAATACAACCGAAATACTCTTATAAATTAGTATTCTATAATTAATTATTAAACAAATCTGCAGATACAATTATATTAATTGATAAATTGTTAAAACAAATGGATACAAAATCTGTTTTCGTTCAATAATTCGGCAAGATAAACCTAATCACTTAATGGATTTAGCGTCAAGGATTGAATTGAAATAAAAGCATGTAAAAAAAGTAATTGAAAGTGAAAATGTCTTGATATTGATGCCTACATCAATAAATTCGGTCTGCTCTGAATAAAATATATTGAAATAGTAAACGTGGTCGCAATAGGAGATTTGCATGTTAAAAGCTTTTCAAGTAAATCGAATAACGAAACAAAAGAAAATAAATAAAATTGGAAACATCATTTGAATTCTGCTATCGAGTTTCATCTTTCCGTGTGCATTATTGTAACTATATTTTTTAACAAGCGCACGTTTCATCGATAATGCAATAACCTCGTTCTGCGTAGAGGAAGAAATTGAAATGGTAAACACGGTATATAAAAGATTTTTTTTGGCAAACTGACGTTAAATGCATTTCATTGAAAACGGATCAAGAGAGAGGAATTTGGATGAACTGATCTAGTCGTATTTTTTTTGACCCATATTCTTGTAGCTCGACTGTAGTTATAGAGTGAATAACGGCGCGCAAAGCCAGTGGCGTACGTCTCATGTATAATTCAACGCTTTCTCGTTCTGCGTAAAGAAAGAAATAAACGAAAAATGAAACGTTAAAAGTATTTGAATTAATTATGTGAAGGAGTTGGATGTACCATTTCATTGCAGATATGCAAGATTCCTTTGTTAAACAAAAAAAAAACGGATTTGTTCGTCGCAAAGGAATAAATTGAATTGCTAAAAATGGATATCAATTTAAAATAATTTCACTTAAATCTGTGCATGTATCAATGTATTATGTAATTGTAAATATGCAGTATTCTTTTGTTACAAAATAAAAACCGCAAAGTGGTGTTTGTTTCATCGATAATTAAACTCTTTCCTTCTGTGCAAAGAAATAAATGAACGTGAATCAAATCAAATGTATTTAAATAAATGATTTGATTGGTGAATTGATCAATATCACACAAATTTATTTGTTAAGATCTGCAAATCTAGTGAAAAATAAACAAAATTTAAATAGTAAATCTACACTTTTAAATTCAATATGTAAGTAAGTTTTTTCTTGGTAACTTATATTTATTGTTCATAAGAGTTTGGTTTACGTCGCTTAGTTCTATTTAATTTGATTTATAGAAAAAAAAATCAGTATTTTTGTTTAAAATTTGAAGCAGTCCAATAACGATTATCAACTGCAAAAAATAATAAGATTTAATGATGTAATTTGAATTATGGTTATTGTATAAATTCAAGGATGAATGAAAATAATTGCAACTGGAACTGGCTTTATTAAAGAAGTAATTGGTACTTAAGGAGGGATTATCTCTCTCTCTCTTCTCGAGTCTGTTTACGACCATCCATCTACACGTGTCTCCTTCAAGGATTCTCCTACCTGCTTTTTTGTTGTTTTCCCTGCTCATCCTTCTTACCTTATTTACACTTATTGTGAGGTCGCAGGATTCCGAGGAGGAGGAAATAGGGACGGCAGCTAACGTCAACATCGGTAGCAGCAGCAGGAGGAACATCAACAATTTGGGCCCTTCCTCCCCATTCATAGCCAGAGGTTTCGCAACTCTCGTCTCCTACATGAGATGGAGATCGATCGGGATAATTGCCACCAGTGAGTAGAAGCCATCCGAGTCTTCATTCTTCATCGCGAAGAAATTCATTAAAATTAAATAAATTTCAATTAGCACGCGCTGTTTCCTAATTGGCCTCCCGTTAATTAAACACCCGTTGTTTTTCAATGCAAAAAGACAGTCACAAAACTTCTTTATTCTTCATATTTTCTTTTTTTTTTGTAAAACAGTGCCGTTACGTTACGTGGAAATCTTTATGGTCGGATATAAAAAAGAGCCCCGGGGCTGCGCGATGATAACAATCCAGGGCCGCCGGGGGCGAGATTATTTACTTACTCAGAAATACAGAGCACACCCCAAGATTCACGTTTATTGCATCCACTAAAATCCCCATTTTTTTTCTTTTTATATCATGGGATATTAACATTGCACCCGGCGCATCCACTAAAGATCGACGCGAAATCAAGATTAAAGCGTTCGTCAACTGTCTTTAGCATTTGCGATTATGTTTTGCTTGAATAGATCATGATATATTCCACCTTATTAGAAGAATTTCCAGAGAGAGTTTGCCGCTCGTCTCTAAATTCCCATTTGCCGCATCAAGTGTTGCACCAGGCGCATCGTAAATCCGCAGTAAAATATTGCATTTCCGTTTCCGCCCTAAACCCCAACAATTCAGAACCTAACTGAGCAATAATAATCTTTGTGCATGGTGCCATCAAATAAACGTTATCATTTTATTTTGTCGCAATTTTAAATTTTTTATTTAGGTTATGTCAATTTTCAATTTTATTTCAAAAAATATTATTAGCTGTCATAAAAAAAGCATTGCTATTTAGTTTTGACACCTTCTTTATTCAGTCAACTTTATTTTGACAGTCAACTGGTGTTAGCAATATAAACCTATTTCTCGTTTTACATGGTAGATAGATTCCTGAAAATCGCATAAATCGAAATTTTATTAATTTATTTCTTAAAACGAAAATATATAAATAAAGTATAATGTAAAACGAGGGATAGGTAATTTTCAACATTTATTTTAATTTAATTTTGTATACCGTGTAAAACGAAACAGTTTTAATCGAGTACCATGTAAGAACGTCTTAATTCAAATATATTCAGAAAACATGTAAATAAAGTGTAGTGTAAAACAGTGATTTCCAAATTTGATGTTACTACTCCTTCCTTAAGAATATTTAAAAATTTGGCGCCTCCCTTCCACCACTCTATTTCATAAAATAGATAAAACTTTAGAAGTCATTTGGAAAATTGCTCATTGTGACTAATATTCGCGTCTCCCCTTAGACTAGTCCGTGCCTCACAGTTTAGAATACGCTGGTGTAACACGATTACCGTGTAAAAACGTCTTAATTCAAATGTATTCAGATAACATGTAAATAAAGTATAGTGTAAAACGAGGGTTAAGTTATTTTCAACATTTATTTTTAATTTAATTTTTTATACCGTGTAAAACGAAACCGTGTAAATAGAGTACCGTGTAAAACGAAGGATAGGTGTATATATTAAAATTTTAAATTTGTTGACGCTTACGTGTTATTATGATACCAAATTAATATCAAATTCAATATATAGAAATAGTTAAAATTTGTGTCATAAAAGAAGCGTTACACTTTTTGTTTGCTATAATTTATATTCAGTTAATGTTTTGTTGATTATATTTTGACATTCGCACAGTAATAATAATGAAAATTCACTTTAGATTGTTTGACGCCTCAAAGTCGTTTGTTTATTTAATTATCATAAAAGAAGCGTTACAAATTTGTTTTGTTACGATTTTCATTCTATTAAGTAGACCATTCAATTATATCGTTAACGTTTGATGCTTGAGTAAATTTTTGATAAATTTCTATTATTTCATTTTAAAATTAATTACTAATAAAACAATAATGTTTACTTCATGATTCGAAGAAATGACTATAATAACAAGTCAATTGCGATCCTTACAAATGATTTTAAAACAATTACTTTCCATTAATTTCGTTCTTTTGAAAACTCGGCGTCAGATTGCGGTAAATTTGTTTGCAAATATTAGATCTCGCGTTGAAGTGAATTAAAACGTCCGACGTAATGCAATAGCTGAAACCCGGCGCGCACATCCACTTGCACTTCTTAAACACGAAACTCAATTATGTCCGGATATAATCGTGTTTGTCTTCCTCAACTGCGCAAATGCATAAAATTGTAGAGTGCGTTGTGCAATGTTCGTCGTTTTTTTTCTCTCTCGAGTTGTTGTGCACTGTGGTTGCCCAATTATCAGGGGATGTTGCGTATTTTAAATCCCTTAATCCCTTTTGGAATTTTGCCGCTCTCTGTTTGGAGTTTGCAACGCTGTAATTAGCTGCATGTGCGCTTTTGTAATGAATTTAAAAAAAGTTTTCTTTTCTCTTTTAATGCAACCCGGCGCTTCCACCTGAGAATATTTATGTCGAGCAATTACATTTACTCTTATTTTACGTAATTTAACTAGTTCACAACGAATACACATAATACGCGCTATTTGATTTGTCGAAAGTATGTATGACTCGACTGAATCAGTTCACTTACATATGATTAAGTAATTAAATAGTTGATTTGTAGAATATTTGTTTTTTTTTATGTCTTTTTTAAATGCGACTTTGTTACGTTTTTTTAAATTTGGAATTAATGATCCAAAGCGTTTATCTATAATTACCTTGGATTGAGTCGGATTGGATTAGGAGTAAATTGATTTTGATGTGTTTTAGGCAGCGGTTGGTGGCCTAGGCTGTCGCAGCTGGTGGCTATCCAGTTGAGGGAATTGGGTATCGTAGCGAGGTTCTACGAGATTGTGCCTCACGATTCATCGGACGGAAGGATCGAGCGTAAACTGGAACTTCTCCGTCGAACTCCGTGCAGAGGTAGATTTTTAGAGATTTTTGATCTTTTTATAGGTCAACACGTTTGTCTATTCCTCTTTCAGTCATAGTGGTTTTCGCCTCTGGAGACGCATCCGGTCAAGCCCTAGTGGCAGCACTGGACCGGATGCGAACCGCGGAAGATGATGACTATAACTCACTCCTAGTGCTAATGGACATCTCTGCATTACCATCGTGGACCACGCCGCTGCTGGAATCCGGCCGTAACTCTACGACCATCCGAGAGGATATCATCAAAACAATATCTTCGGAAACCAAGAAGTACACTCTCATCTTCACCGAGGCGGAGGTGTTGCATCAAAGTTTGGAACACCGGATCGTCGGGAGGATCGCCAAACATTTCATTAAATCAAACGAGTCGTGGACCGAGGGATTCGCGCTCGTGGATCTCAAGGAGGACGACACTTTGAGGCGCCTGGTGTCGGTGGATTACAAGAACGATAGCCTCTTCGAGGCTGTACCGCAAGTGGAGAACTTCGAGGAGTGGCTTGCCAAGCACGTACAGACTGAAGATTGCGACGGCTGCGAATCCAATCTAGCTCACATGCTCAGCTTCGTCATCATCTTCGTCTGTTCCTGTTTAAGTCTATTCATTATCTTCGTGATCGCTGCCATCGCCCGTTACCAACTGCTCAAAAAGAAAGTCACCAAGGGACCGTACAAAGTCCTGCTCACCGCCACGGATTTCGTCTTTCCTCAGATCGCAGACAGCCGTAGGGTGAGTCCAAAAGACACAGAAAAATAGAAAGAAAGAAAACAATAAAATAAGCTTTAATTAATCATCAACATGATTGTTTTTTGTTAATGTTTTTTGTATAAAATGAAAATTGTCCGTGACATTTGTTTCATTTTTTTTTAAATAACAAATGTCATTTTGACATTAACAAACAAACCTTTTAAAAAGATATATGATTAATCTGTTTCAAACAAAATTAATTAATTATCAATTATCATGGAAATGTAATTAACTATTTCTCATGAACATAAGATAATATAGAAATTATTATATTATTAGTATACAGCTCAAAGTTGCTTAAGATCGTATGACTACAAATCTAAATATTGATTTAACAATTAACAATTTTCTTGATTTCTGATCGTTTCATTCCATAAAATGTTAATGATTTTGCATGTAATACAAACGTATATTAATTTTCTTTAAACTCAGAGATTGAAACAAAGCGTATGTTCCTCCTTATATAAAGTAGACTGTGCAATATCTACGCGTTTCAGAATCGTGGCCCTTCTTTTTGCCTCCCATCAGATTGCGAGTAATTAGATTCTTCTGCTATAATTATTTTCTTAATTATCCCATCCGAGTTTTAAAAGGAAACCGGTGGTTCATCAAAAAAAAATTGAAATTCACGTTTCCTCCGTTCGAACAAGTTTATAATTGAAAAATGTATGATGGGACAAAAAAAAGGAAGGAAGGAAAACAAAACAAAAAGGCAGTTTTGTTTTTCGCCAAATGGGTTGCTTTTAATTATCCACCCTTCCGTCGAATTTTCCTCGTTGAACACCGATGGGGAAAAAAAAGTGGAGGAAAACACGAGAGTTTGAGCGATTTTTATGGGTGGAATTCTCGGACGGCCAAGAGGGCCTTGTATTTACTCGCCTAAATGGGGACCTCGGTAATTTATCTTATCCCGTTTCCGAAGCTTCCGTCTGTTTGCACGCAGCACGATGAAGAGGAGCGCAGAAATCCGAAACAAAAGTCAATTGCCCCACGTTGGTCGCCAACTCCCAACTTTTGTGCGCGTCGTCGTTCGACTCTCCAATTTCCTGTCGCCCTTTCCTGCTCATTTCCTTCTTTTCGTTAAAGCAACGAAACGAAAAAAAAAGAAAAGCGAGAGTAGAGAGAAAAAAGAGGAAAATAATGGGGGGATGCTTGTCCTTAATTGCAGCGATACAATCGATATGTGTTTCTTCGTCACGATATGACGCAAATTATTTAGAGACCCATCGATTCGTCCGAGGTCGCCCATCAATAATTTCTAATTTGACAATGACATTGGGAGATAAATAAGTACAATCTGAAATGACAAGTCGAATCGATGGGTCCTTGAATTCCTCGGCCGAAGAGGCAATAGTTTTGTACGCACGGTTCCACCGAACTTTTTCGGCGCTATGAACCGTTCTTCCTCTTCCCAAGTCCCCTCTTGTCCCTGGTATTCGGGGGGGAAATACCAAAATAAATGCATAATCGATAGAAATTCCCTCCCTCTTTTCTCATCCCCCGCGATATAAGAGAACTGCTCCTATGAATCCTTTGTCTCCACAGATGAGACAAGAATAAGGGAAAAAAATAGATCCAAGAAACAATCTCAATTGTTATTTGGATAAATCAAAGAAGACACATTCACTCTCTTCCCTGAAACTCATCATTTTCTTCAATGAAGGGTAAGGGTAAGCAGGGTAAGCCTCTTACAGCCTCTTAAATGCATATTCGTTTAATTTCCATCGAAACCCCTTGAGCGGTCTTCCATCCCTCTCAACCCTCAACTCTCTCTCTCTCATTCCATCCACTCCCCTGGCACAATCTCAACTTGACAAGTTTAATTGAGTTTCTTAATTGCGTATTTCGGCGATCAAATTCGAACCGGATCCTGACTTGACCTGTAAGCCTCATTCATTGTTAAATCGCGTTGACTAGAACGAATATTTTCAATTAAAAAGTAATTAATTAATCAGATAATTTAAAAATTTCAATAATATATGAAAATTATTTTGCTCTTTTATGACACCCACGATTTGCACTTTTTTGAGCTCTTTTGTTGAAAGTATTTTCTAGTAAATCAGTTAAACAATTTTCAAACAGATTCATCATTTCATTTAAACTTTATTATCTCACATTTTTTATTTTAATGTTGTTTATCACATATAAACCAATAAAAAAATTATATAATCTTTTCGAAGGAAAAATAATTCTTTCCGAATTTTTTTGCATTTTTTTAAGTGAATTTAAAACATTTCCTGTTCTTTAGTAGAAACTTCAAAGACTTTTGATTAAAACGGACTTTTTCATTAAAGAAAACTAAATCCTTAATTTAGTTTTTACTTTTTCTGACACAGTTTCTGAAGGTTAGCTTAGATTCAGGTATGTTAGATTATTTAGCTTTAGACTAGGATTGATTAGTGTAAGTTATATTAGGCCTAGAGTTAGATTAAGGTAAATTTTGATTATAATAGATAATTTCATGTTTCTATTCTTAAGAAATATAAATATAATATTTAAGAAATTATATTATATTTTTTAAATAAAATTATTCATGTTCAACATCTTAAAAAAGAACGAAGTTTGAACAAAAAAAAACACAAATTTAATGGCAATATTTGTCATAATATTCGTAATTACGGCCGAGCCGAGTGTGAATTATAATTTCGTAGGGTCATTACATTAATCGTCTCTCTCTCTTCATGGAGCGGGATGATATGTTACGAACTTTTTTTCTTCGTTTCATAACTAGTTAGAAACAGCGAAAACAAAGTCCATTTAAAGTGACAGTTTCATGACAGTTAGATCAACAAACCCCGAAGCACCCCAGCATATCACAGGCATTTTATTAATATTTGTTCATGCCGAAATTGAAATTCCGGGAATCGTACGACGAATTGGTTTTTAATTTGGGGTACTGGATGGGTTTTCTGGATTTTGTAGGTGGATGAGGGGATTGAGGCGATGCTCTGCTGCTGGTTGCAACAGTTGCAGGAGTTTGGGGGGCCGGAAGTCGATAAACCCGATTTATTGCAGGGCTCGTCGGGGGGCAACGCGAGGACTCCGCTGAGGGGCGGCTCCAGTCCGAGCCTAGCCAAGCAAATCATCGTCGATCCGCGCGTCAGATATAACGTAAGTTCACACTTTAACTGTCACCCTCTCATTTGTAATGTCATGTCACATTGACAGTACGATCATTCGGTTAATGAGCATATTTACCAGTCAGTATATACAATATATACAAACTTAGTAAGTAAATGTAACATGCATTGATGCACTGATTTAACAAAATTATGTAAATCATTATTAATAGAATTTATTTGTTGGGTTGGCAACTAAGTGATTGCGGATTTTTTCAATAGGTGTTTAGTATTATTTCCGAAAAGGCATCGCATCGCAAGCACACAAGAAGTTTTGTGCCCTATATGGGAATACTTAAATACGTAATCATTTAGTTGCTAACCCAACATTTGATTTGTACTTTTTCTAAAATTAATGTTTTTGATTTTGCATTTGAAGGGCGATCTCGTCCAGATGAAGCCCATCCAGACAGGTGGAAACGTCGAGCTCAGGGCCAAAACGGTTGAACTCCTTTTGGTTCTCCACGGTCTTCGACACGAGAATCTCAATCCGTTGATCGGATGTTTGGCCGAACCGCCGAGGGCTTGTTTGGTGTCCGAATGGTGCGCCCGTGGCTCTTTGCAGGACGTTCTTCAGCAGGACGACATCAAGCTCGACTGGTCCTTCAGGCTGAGCCTTCTCACCGACTTGGTCAGGGTGAGTCTTTTGCCATAAACTTACTTACGTCACCTCCCTTCCCTTCCATCCAGACATGCAATTAACGGGCCCAAATGGATTTATTAGGTCGGCGAGAATCTCATATTCCCAATTCTAATTTCCACGCTCGATTTTCCTACAGACAGCGCAATTTACCATCCAAGGCAATTCTACGTTTGCCCGGGAACACAATAATAGTTAAAAGCGAAATGCTCCACTCACTCTTGTCCCTCTTTCTCATACACCCAATTTTATTAGCACTTAAAGATAGAAGAACGGAAAAAGAAAAAACAATCAAGGCAGCCTCGTTCAGTTGCTAAGCAATTGTTTTGTGAAATCTAAGGATTTAATTGTTCCCAATTCCTTAAATAGTATCTATACATATATTGAAGAATAAGTATGTTCAGTATGTTACATAATGCTACTAGTACTATATACTATACCTGAAATAAGTTATGAAAGTTTTGTAATTGTACTATTTGTACTCAGGAAGTCCGATGACAGTTTCACTGATTAGGCAGTTGCAATTGTTGTCAAATGAACCAACTTAAATCATTGTATAAGAATATACACTTGGTTTTCTTTTTATGCGGTAGATACGTTCCACAGGAAAACGCATAAAAATAAATCGCACAAAAAAGGACTAGACATACGTATAAAAATATAGGATACGTTCCATAATTTTTTAAAACCGCATAAAACTAAATCAATGAGTTACAATATACCGAAAATCGAATAAAAAAGGGTTTATTAAATTTCAGAAATATAATTACTCTTACTATATTTTGAAATGTTTATTCATAATTTTATAAAAACGTTGACAATCATAGACAAGTTTATTAAATTTCAGAAAAATATAATCTTAACATATTCCTTATAAATTTATACGGAAAAATTTTACAAAAAAAAATACAGAAATTTTTTATGAAAGTTAATCTTTCTTCACATTTCTTTCTTTAGAATTATCGTTGCTATATGAGAGTGTTCGGCATAATTTGCTAACTGCTTCGAAATCACTTTCATCACTAGAAGAGATAGTAAGCATATCAGATCTATGTCCTGAAGATAATGATTCTTCACAAGTAAAATTAGTCTCAACTTCGCATGTTGATTTTTTCCCTTTGACAATATAATCATTGATTAAACATTGCGATGGCTTTGCTATTTTTTTGTACAATTCCTGATATACAGAAATGCAATTCTGAAGCTTGCGTTGAAACTTGAATGCTCGTTCAGAATTATCATCTTTTTCGATGAAATGGTTTGCCAATTTGTGTCAAAACGTGTCAAAATAGCTTAAAATAGTTATTAAAAAAAAAGCTTCTTGGAATAAAAACCGCATAACTTCAAAACCGCATAAGAAGAGTACGCATAAAAAGAGGAACGAGTGTATTTAGTTACTTATATCAAATCATGTTTTGTTTTAATACATTTCAGCTCCCGAAGAAAAATTTATCGAAAGTAAGGTTGCCGTTAATTTAAAAATAATGCTAACGAAAATATAATTATGTTAAAATTTACAATGCAAAACAATATACAAATGAAAAAATAATACCAAACAAAAATTAAGTAAACTAATATTAAAAATAATGCGGATGTTAAGTTTGCGTGCTGCACATATATATTTCCTACGTTTTGTCTGATGTACTCGGCCCCACGTAGGTCACTGGATGTAACGAAAGTGCTTCTGCTGGGATCCGTGCAGCATAAAAATTAATTTACCAAAAACAACAAAACATATGGAACTGCAGGGAAACACGCATGCAGATTCAACCGAAAATAGAAATGATGTAACCTAATTAAATATTTGCTTCGAATTTAAAGAAAATCTAATTTATTTCTAATTACATTTCCGTATTTGGCTTCAGTATTTTTTTGTTTATTGTTTTTCCTTTTCTCAAATTTCCGTATTTGTTTTCGTCTGTTCTAATTAGATATTAACCGGGTTCGGTAATCCCATCTTAAATCGATCGAAGCTCCAAAATTATTGTTTTCTGAGTTTCTCTCTAAACCGTCGTTCGGTGTTTTTTTTTATCGTTTAATATTAATTTCCTAAATGTGCTTCTAATGCTAATGCCAACAAGCAAAACAAAACACATGTTGCCATGTAACCACATAATGCCAACGGTAAACATTTACAGCGGAAACATGCATTTAAAAGTAAATGTCGCGTTAAAGCGAAATGGATATTGCTGGATCGAAGGAAAATCGGAAGGAAGAACCGAAGAATGTTAAGGGGACGTTAAAGTTACGTGCGTACTTGAATAGGAAGGGAAGAAGGAATGTTGAAAGTCGCAGCATGAAACTGAAATGCGAACGAGGTGAGAAATTGATGAAACGGAGGGACGGCATTTAGAATGACGAGGCCTTAATTGAGTGGAAGTGGATTTATTTTGGCGTCGCGACGCCCGTTTGATTAACCGGCGCTATCCGCTCTACGTGACGGGCCTACGTAAAAGTGCGCTACCTTCCTTTTTGTTCTCTGCTTCCATCAACCCTTATTTTTTTAATGCTTTTTTGCACGAAGCTTCTTCAAAGTAAAGTTCGCTCGGAGCGAAACGCATATGGACACATTACATTAATGTTCTTTTTTAAATTAATTTTTCGTTAAAAAAGAACGAAATTTTATATATTTATGATCCCATCACGTTTAAGCGAATTGGATAAAAAAGGAACTTTAACCAGTGTTTTAGTACTCCATGTATTTAAATCGTATTTTATCCGAAAAATTATTAAATCAATGTGATTCATATTCCATTGAATTCGATTGTCGATTTTTTACTGTTTTTTTTAAATCATAATTCTATGTACCATTATTTAATCGAATCAAATAAATTCATGTTAAATTAAATTCGAATATCGGTAGCTTATATTTCGACGAATCATTTTTTAATTGAATCAAATAAATTCCATTAAATTTCATATTTTCCGCAGGAGAAATTCAAATAAAATTTAAATTTATTGTAAATGTTGCTTGTTAATATTGATATGAAGTGATGAATGCAAGTTTGGGTTTACGTTACACAATAATTGTTAATATTTCAGTAAACAAAAAATAATTAAAGAATAAATGTTTTGATAATATTATCGCTTGAAGATTACGCTTCAAAGTAGCGTAACATATTACTCCGTCTGCCCCAAAAAATATAAATAATTTTGGTGTAATTGAAATTTACTTAAAGTGAGATTTAGCCTTGTGAACGCCTCTTCTGTACATATATACTTTTTAGCTAATCGTCACTCATGCTGTTTAAAGATATCAAACAGTGTTGATATCATTTCTCGACGATATTATTTCTTTCCTTTTATTTTGAAGAAACATTGGCACAAAAACACACTTTCTGTATTGAACATGATTCTACTTACGGTCAGACAAGACACGCGGCATACAGTTGCAACTTTATTAATGGTAACGTGTTCTAATGTTTCTTGATTCTTCATAGACTGTATAGCTGTTGCAAGATACAATGACGTTGTTCATTAGTCAATTGTTTTGTTTTGGCATCTCTACTTTGTAAATTTAAAATTTTTCATTTTGAAATTACAACGGCAATTTTTTTTTTAATCTAATTTTTGGTCTTCAAATTCCAACTTAACTCAAAAGCAACGCCTGCCAAATATGTTAGGTTATTTAGCTATCAATGTAAACAATATCAATACAATGACAATTGCTAGTTGCTTTCGAAACTCTATTTAATCTTAAGATTTTCATTCTAATGTATACCATATTTTCGGACAGAGAGAGTATTTCAAAACTCTATAAATATAAATAACATAATGAATAATTTAAAAAAAATTATTTCAGGTTTTTAAAAATGTATTCTTGTGCGATAAATTTTGTAGCAGTTCTTCATATATTAACTGTTGAATACCCTTACATGTAATTTACTATCTATGGTTTCAACACTTTGGCTTCCCGGTCTAGCTGCAGAGTTCCATGTTTTTGTAAAATTTGTTTGACATAGATATTAAGCCTTGTTAATGTGGTAAAAGTAAATTTAAGAAAAGGACACTGTAATAATAATTAATGAAGAGATGATCCAGCAACCCCACTTCACATATACAATAATTATTTATGCACTTGCACACATTAATAATCAATAATTAAAATCGGTTTGCTAAATCTTGCGGTTTAAACCTCTTCAGTCTTCGACGATGATCTGCAGTATGCATCAGCTCCGTAGCCAGTTAGCTTGCTTGTGGATGTCATCGTTTGTGAAGAACCATGGAGCATTGGTAATTTTCCTCAGCGTTTTGGACTGGAATCTCTGTATTATATCAATACTGGTGTTACAGGCAGATCCCCAAATCTTAATGCCGTAGGTCCATATCGGTTTTAGAATTGTTTTATAGAGGAGCACTTTGTTTTCTGTTGATATGCAACAGTGTCTTCATATTAGCCACTCCAGCTTCCTAGCCCACAGATTGAGACATTTTCTCGTGGTTGCTATGTGCGTTTTCCAAGTAAGGCGTTGATCTAGGTACTTGGCCTCATTTGCCTGAGGCAGAGTGGATCCGTTTAATAGGACTGGAGTTTTGACAAGACCAGAAGGAGGCTGATCGGTCTGTAGGAAGTGACAGCATCAGTTGGTTTTCCGGGTTTTGGAATGAGGATAATCTGTGCAACCTTCCACTGTACCGGAAAAATGCCAAGTCTTAGGATGGCATTAAAAATAAATGTAACATTCCTCAGGCCAGCAGTTGACAGCTGCCTCAGAACCTCTGATGTAATTAAATCATAACCTAGCGATTTTTTATATTTCAATCCATACCGTATCATCAATTTAACCTCCCTGACTTTAAATGGATTTATTGGAAGCGACATTTGGAACGGAGACTCCAAGAAACGCGTTATTTTGCGCTCTTTGTCATCAGACAGTTGTGATAGGAACGGTTGGAAGACCTTAACGAGGTGGTCTGCGAATAATTCCGCCTTATCCCTATTGCTTCTTGTCCAAGTGCCATTGCACTTGCGACTTGGTGCGAATTGGTGGTACACT